GCCTCTCCTATGGCAGCACCTCCTCCAGCTCTGCGTCCCCTTCCTGTAGAAACTTGGGCTCTGCTGGTGCGGCTGCTGGGCGTCAGGCTCACCAGAACATGGAAGTTGATCCGCTCACAGTGTTCCTGGCTGGAGGAGAGTAGGGCAGCCCTGTTGGTGTAGCGGTCTCCGCCCTCATCCAGGTGGGCCCGTGGTGTGTACCGCCTCTCGTCCATGGTGGCATTGTACGTGATGCCTGGAGGAAGTAGAGGGCAAGACCATGAAGGTGGGGCCATATTTCTATTCAAGACTGTTTGCCTTTGTTTTAAAATAGCCTCTGGAGAGTCAGCCTCCTCCAGGAAGCCCTCCAGGCTGACCAGAGAAGAGCTGCTCCTCTCCCCTCACCAGGCCCAGTGTGGGTGGAAAATTCCCATGCGGAGAGCAAGTGAAAGGGGGAAAGGAAGGAACTGAAGAGAAGGGGGAGGCAGAAGGAGGAGCAGGGAAGATGGGGCTGACAGTGAAGGGAAGTAGGAAGAGGAAGAAATGGAGGGGAAAGAACATGTGGTAGAAGAGGAGAGGAGACAGGACGGGGTGGGAGAGGAGGTCAGGGTGATGCGATGGTCGTTGGAGCCCCTCCTGGAGTCAACACACCCTTCTCTTCCCACCCCCCTTCCTAGCTCTCACCCTTGGCTCTGGGATCCCATCATGTCTGGGTCAGAGCCTCTGCAGGTGGCAGTTCCCATCACACTAGGGAGGGCTGACCAGCTCCCACCAGCTTCCCACCAACTCCTCAAACTTAAGACTGTTCTGGGGTTGAAAGCCAGCAGCCTTCTCCCCTTCAGCTAGGCTGATCTTTTACTAATTCCAGGAAAAGCTCAGTCCATTCTGCTGTACCCCAGCCAACCCTCTGGGCACACCAGGTTCTTGCATCTTGCTCCTTTCATAGATAGAAATTGAAAGAAGGGCATAGCCACCCAGGCCTGCCTTTGTTCTTATTTTCCCCCCTGGGTACCCGTTTCCTCTTTGTCTGGTTGGCTCTGCTCCTTCGCTGAGAACCTCTCTGTGGTCCCCATTTCCTCACGGACCCAGCCTGGTCCCAAACCTGCAACTATCACTTCCTGGGGTTGCCTGAACCCAGGGCTGCCATGAGCCAGTGTCTGACCCCAGCCTTGGCAGGAGGTGATGGATTCTCAGAAGGAAACGGCCCTACTGCAGACTCACGCCCACTCTGAGAAGTGACCGCTGCTAGTGGGGTCTTTGTACACCTGAGCCCCTGGTTTCCAGCTCCCTCTCCTGGGTCTGACTCTTCTTTTGCAACCAGGTTGACTCCATGGCTTCCAAACCCCAGTTTGTTCCATTGCTTCCAGTCCTCTGTTCTGATCCAAACTCTGCACCCCAACCATTTCCTTCTTCCTCTGGCTTTCCCTCGTTGGTCTCCACTTCTCACTGCCATCTCACCCTGGCATGATATCCCTTCTCTGTTGTTTGGAATTAAAAGTATCAAATGGGCATCTAGCAGTCATCAAATGTGGCACTAGGTGTGACCTGGCATTTAAAACCCGCTACCTCAAAAGCCCCGGTTTTGAAACAGAACAATTCCAAAGTTCACAGGGGAGACTGGAGCCGGAAGAGGTAGGGGCCATGTTTACCGACTGTTGCTGTTTGGAAGTGGGGTGCCAGGAAGACAGGTGTGAAGCAGAGGAAGGCGGCCAGGCAGGTGGCGTCTCTGCCGCTGCGTTTGCAATCTCTGTGAAAGATGTTGATCTTGGGTGGCTCAAAGTGGAGGCTGGCATTGATCTGAACCACAGGGCGGGACCTAGAGGAGAAGGGCAGGTAGGTAGGTAGCTGGGGTGGGGCAGGGTTCAAGGCGGCCCTGCTGTGACCTGGGGGAAAGGTGGCGAACCAGATGGGAGTGGAATCTGCAAAACCACCACTGGAGGGTGAGGTGAGGCGGTGGGGGTGGGACAGAGAAAGACTCCAGATGTCAAAGGTTTGGGCAAAACATTGCACAGGTGATGAGGGGTGGGCTCAGGGACCTCCTAGCCCCTCGAAGCAGCCCTTCATTGTTTTCCTTGATGCAGACCATACTGACTTCCTTTTGCCTCCTCATCACTTTTAGATCAGTGGTTCCCACCCCTGATATACATTAGAATAACCTGGAGAGCTTAAAAAATTCTGGTGCCCAAGCTGTACTCCCAGTCAAATTAAATCAGAACCAGCAGCAACATGTCTGAAAGCTGTGTTTCTCAGGCTTTCACATGTTTGGGTATCTCCTGGGGACCTGCGAAAACACAGATCCTGATCTGATAGGTGTGCACAGATGCTGCATTTCTAGCAAGTTCTAGGGTGATGCTGATGCCACTGGTCCCTGGACCACACTTTGAAGAACACAGGCGTTACAGCTCCCCCGGCGACTGCAATGTGCAGTCACAGTGGGGAACCGTCCCTGTTCCAGGGACTCTGAGCCCATTCACCTGACACTACCCATCCTGGTAGCCAAGGAAAGTCACTTAATTCTTCTACTGGTCTGAGTCAAACACAGTTAGGGAATGAAATGATTGCCTTTCCAAACCATGCATTTATATAAAAATAAATAAGTGTAGTGTGATTTAGATGCTTCAGAATTTCAGTGTGATCATCTGTGCTAATACTCTGCTCTTCTTAGCATAAGGGGGTTCCGCCTCCTTTGTGCTGTGGAATGAAAAAGATGAATGTGAGTCTTGGCTCTGTTGGTTCCTTATGAGACCTTAGGCAGGTCACGTGATCTCTCCTAAGCGGAATTGTGAGAATCATAGCAGGTAAGTGAGATAGTGTAGAGTGCTGTGTTAACGTAATAGCTTACATCAGTGGTTCTCAAGCTTGGCAGCCCATTGGAAAGAAACACCTGGGAGTTTTTAAAAACTGCTGCTGCCTGGCCCCTCCCCCTGAAATTCTGCTTTAAGTGTTCTGGGTAAAGCCTGAGCAGTGAGAGTTTTAAAAGCTCCCCAGGTGATCCTAACGGGCAGTCACCTGTGAGATCCATGGGGTTGGACCATAAAGTCTCCCCAGAGGGCTCCAGCCCACAAGCTCGTCACTACCGAGGCAGCACTTTGGTGTAGAGCTCAGAAGCTAGAGCTTGATTCAATCCTTTCTGCGAGACGGACGCTCTTGGTATGTGTGTTCTCATGTGTCTGTATCTTGTTTTTTGTAAAGGACTTAGTTTATATGTCACCCTAAGGCTAGGCTACGTCTACCCCCACCCTGGGTTTGGGTCACCTGTCTTGCTTCCTGGCTGGAACCAACACAGCAAATACCTTTACCACCTAAGCTGCTGCTGCTGCTTCCACCACCAAAGACCTAAGAGCCCCCACATGCAGAGCAGATCTTCAAAGAGAACTAGGCCGAGTTCCTAGGCTACATCCCTCGAGACCCTTCTCTCTAGTGCTGCCTAGAGTTCCAGGGATACCACCTGGGGTGTGGGGCAGCTGAAGCTTTGGCCACAGCAACCAGGAGACATGAGGAGCCCGCAGACACCCTGCTACCCCTTCCTCCCCTTGATGGGCTGTTGCAGGAAGCAGAGGTTCTATTCCCCCTCTGCAGAGACTGAGCAAGAAGCTGCACCCATGAGACTGCGGCTAGTTCAGCAATGCACCCCCTCGTATCTGCTCTCCTTTCTTGCTTTAGTTTCCTTTGGCCCTCACTTCTGCTTCTGGGATTGCAGGTCCCCCAACCTCCTCCCTCAGAAAAGCATTAATGGACAAGCTGTTTTCTAGAAAACCTGGACGAAGGAATTTCCCAATGGGATTGTAGTACTCTTGAGGCCCAAGAATAGAGCCCCTCCTCCTTTGTTCTCCCTGTGAAGTCACATGATAGCTCTGTTTAGTGCCTTTTTATAAGTTCTATGAAAAAATGCAATTGCATTTAAATAACATTATATGCAAGCGGAAAAATGTTAGAAAGAAATATGCCAAAATGTTAGTAGTGGTAAGGTTAAGGAGGTGAAACGCTGAGCTATTTATTTTACAAATTTTCTTTAAGTTTTTCTGTTTATGATGAAAAAAAAATCTCATCAACATATATGAAAGAGTTCTTATTAAAAAAATCTTTTTTTGCTCAAAAAGTAGTCAACAGGGCCGACTGAGTGGCACATTGGTTAAGAGTTGGCTTGGAACACCAGCCCTGAGCAGCAGGGCCCTGGTTCAGATCCCACATGAGGGCCAATGACACTGCACCCTCTACAGCTAAGATGGTGAACAACAGCTCAACCTGGAGCTGGGCTGCCATGAGTCGCTGGCGATGGCGTAGGCTGCAGCCCCTGCTGCAGTGGAGCTCCCGTAAGCTACCGTGAGTGGCCAGCAGCCAGAATGAGCTGCCAAGAGCAGCCGTGAGTGGCCGTCCAGTGGCCGGCGACTGATCTGCCTCACCCGGGAAGAGCGCAATGATAATACCAACATGGGCCAGTGAAGCAACATCCTCCACAACTAGACTGAAGAACAAAAAAAAGGACAGCAACATGTCTGTTCCCCTTTTGCGATTCCCCAATAAAATCTTTAAAAAAAAAAGTAGCCAACATATGACATGATAAAATATATAGACTTTTTGAAAGCTTTTGTTTTGAGACCCTCAGCAAATATCTGATGGGTTAGTACAGAATGAGGACCTGAAAAAGGAAACAAAAACTCAGAAGGGTTTGGCGGAAAGAAATCTCTGTATTACATAAACATCCTTTCACACTAGGGGAGAAGGATGGTCCTCTCAGCAGATAAGAGTATGCTCAGCCTGTCCCTTTAAGTAGCTTGAAAAGCTGAAGTCGAAGAAATGCCTGAGGAGCCGGAACTTTTAGGGCAAATTCTGAGGGGTTTTTGACTCTAAAGTGTTAGAAAATCTTAGAACTCCATTGAGAAGAGGGATTGGGACTTCAAAATAACTCCTAGTCATTCCATAAAAAGATTTGTAATCACCGTGGGATAAGAACAGGGTGAATTTGGCTGACAATGATTAAAGACAAGGGACAAAGATCCTAAAGCATATCTTTTAAACCCTGTATCCATCGTGACCCTCAGGAGAGCCCAAGAGTCAAGAAAAGCGGGAACCAACCACAAAATCACAGCATTGCCAAGGGCGCCCACTGCCAGGTCAACAAGCCCATCCTCGCTGAGGTCCAGTTGCCCGTGGATGCTGCAGCCAAAATACTGGAGGCCAGGAGCCAGCTCTGAGGCGGCGATTCTCTAGGGAGTGGAGAGAAAAAGCTGGGACTGGGCACTGTTAGTGCAGGGTGGGGCAGGGCCACCCTAAGGGGTAGAAACCACGTCTCCAGCCCAAAGCTATCTCCTTTCCTGGTCTGTGCTGGCACCTGAAAGTCCTACCATGAAGTCATTCTCTTGGACTAAAATACTGTGTCTCACAGAGTTCTCCATTAAGTGTAAAACATGTTGCCTGGCATCTAACCCATCAGTATCTCCAACCATGATATATTAGATTATCTTACTAATAACATACATAAGCAAAAATGATGACCCTGACGGGATGGGACCTGGGATGGGCCACTTTTGAGGTGAGTAAGGTTTCCAGCAGGAAGCCTTTCTGGAGAAGAGCGAACCCAGGTAGGAGTTCTCCATTTGTGGCCAAGTGCATGAGAGCATGTGGAGGGGGTGAAGTTCAGGTCCCTGGGGTTTTGCTGCTGTTGTTGTGGAAGTAAAGTTAAGCAGGGAGAGGGTGCCCAAAGGGTGGTGTGGAAGGGCCTGAAGATAAATGCACGCATTTCATGATTTTGACACAAGGCCAGTCGAGCTAGGACAGATCAGAATCCTTCCCTGGGTGAGGACACAGAAGGCAACCCTGCAACCAATGACCAAGCAGGAGCTACTAGGCTTCCGTGTCCCAGCTCCGTCCATTGACCAGGGGCAGTGCTACCTGCTTCGGCGTCTTCAGGAGGTGGCCACGGAAGCCATGGAAGATGTAGATGACGCCTGCATGGTTGTCCTCCAAAGGGGCTCCCACCACCACGTCGTTGTAGGAATCTTGATTGAGGTCCCGCACGGAGGCGATGGAGGACCCGAATCGGGCATTCTGGTAACTGTGGGAATCCTTCAGCGTCCCATTATAAACAAACCTGTTCTGTAAAACCAGGGGCAGCAAAAGGCTCAGGGAGACCCTTGGGGTCATGCTCCTCTCTGGCCTGCAGCTGTTTCCCAGCATCGCCGCTCCAGTGACAGAGGAGGTTCCCGTCCTCCCTGGCCTGGCTCAGTAGGCGGGCGCTAGCGTCTCTAGTGACCCAGTTCCCCTCATGGATACCAGAGTGAAGGCAGGGGGCAGTTGTCCCTGGGAGGCTGCCAGCCCCCATGCAGCAGTACCTGTCTCAGGTTGTAGACGTACACCCTGCCCCGCTCTCGGCCCTCGCTGAAGTACATGGGTGCGCCCACCAGCAGGACATCGGTCACACCGTCGCCATCGATGTCCACCGAGGTGATCTCACTCCCATAATAAGAGCCTATCTGCGGCACAGGGATGGAGAGAGGGCAGTGGGAATGGGCTGCTGAGAGGCCTTGCTCTCAGGTGCAGGGGAACCAAGGACAGCCTTTGACTCAGAATTTTTCGTGAACAAACGAGAAGGGTCCTTCCCTTCTCACGCCCTCTCTCCCCGGCCCCTCCCATGGAGTGGACTCGCCTGGTCAGTCTGTCCTTCCTTCCCCTCTTTTCTCCTGTTATCCATCCCAACCTCAGCTCTTCATTCTTTCCATTGTTTACTTTTATTGATTGCTCTTTATTCTGTTTGTAATCAATACATTATCATGGCAAAAAATGATCAATATACAAAAAAAGGCATAAAGAGGGAAATAAAAGTCACCCGTAGTCCAAACATCCAACTATAACTACAATGAACGTTTTAGGGTATTTTCTTCTAGTCTGTTTTCTCTAGAGGGTGTGGCTTATTTGTGTGTGTATATATGGTTTTATTTTTTCCACTCGGGCATCATACTATATATATAGGTTATATACTGATTTTTTAATAAAACAGTGGGCCACTTTATTTTTTCCTACAACACAATCATTGGTGATTCTATAATTTTTCAAATTATGCATGTGCCAAATGTGTTTCATCAGTCCTCCATTGTGGGACATTTTGCTCGTTTCAATTTCTAAAGTCACAAATAACTCTGGGATTAGCAGCTTGTATGGTAAATTACGATTTCTTTTCAGCATTTGAGTACTCAGTGTGTTCCTCTCCCACCTCGAGTGCCATGCTCCCCGCCTCAGTGAGGGCTCCATCCACTCACTCAATCCACTCAATCAGAGGGTCCTCCCTGGCTCCATCCTCTACCCCGCTCACTTGCAGTCTCCCAGCAAGCTCTGCCTGGTGCTTGCCAAACACGCCCCAAATCCATCTACTCTCCTCCTCTGCTGCTGCTTCCTCAGATCAGGCACCATCCAAAGAGTCCCGGTGCCTCCAGGCTAGTCCCGCTAATCCATCCCTATGGGTGACCAGAATAGGCTCGAGCAGCTGGTCATACCATTCCCCTTGCTTTTAGGAAAAAGTCGACTCTTCAGTGTGACCCTGCTGGCCCTGCCGCCCTCCCCCCCAGCCTCTGCCCCCACCTTCTGGTTCCCATGCCTCTCCCTGCGGTACCCAATGCTTTCTCTTCCTCAAAAGCCCCTGGCCCTGGCTGGCTTGCCGGCTTCCCTTTGCACATACTTTTCTCTTGTCAGCACACCAGTCTACCATCCTCTCTCCCCTTGCGTGGCTGTCATTCCTCAGGGCACTTCCTGTCAGAAGCGTCCCGGTCCTTCCCCGCTCTACGCCCTCAGCGAGTGCCCCTCCTGGACGCTCCCCGAGCCCCATACTACTCCCGTCAGTACCTGTCCCCTCCACAGGAGCCTCGTGTTGTGTTCCCTCCAGGCCTGGGTGCCCTGCCTGGCGTGCAGGAGGTTCTCAGTAAATGTTTATTGGACCAGTGGGCCACTTAGGAAAGGAAAGGGGCCCTTCCCACAGACAGGCCCTGCATGACACCCTTTACAGCCTCGCGTTAGTACAAGAGATGGTTGTCCTCCTTTTATAGGACAGAATCTGAAGCTCAGAGAATCTGAGTCACTTGCCCAAGGTGAGAAGGCTTGTCACAGCCAACTGGGGTCTGTGACTCTCTCTCCCCCAGCCATCTCCTGGCTTAGGGTGCTTTCAGAAGAAATCTATCCTCAAGCATGAACAGCTTTTAATTGAGGGGAAAGATAAAAATACAGAAGAGAGAAAAAGGAAATCCTAAACACTGGGTGAGGGAGGGAAGAGATGTGCCCGCCTAAAGTAATTAAGAGGCAGACAGAGCAAATAAGGGGAGAGGGAGGGAGGCATGTGTCTAAATATGTGGCCTCAGCTATGTGGGTCACCGTGATTTGGAATCCACTTAATTTAGCTGCCTTCAGCACTGCGGTTTCTCGTTCGGATGTTGGAGGCGGAACCGGGCAGTAAAAATGTCATAAATTCATCAGCAAATTCCCTACAGCTCTCAAGGCCTAGACTTGGATTCCCCTAAGAGCTGGCCTTGGGCGGAGTGTGGGTGGAGGCAGGGTGGAGGCTGGGGGACAGAGCAGTGCCCTTGAGACGGAAGAGGACTGGTGGAATGATGGCTTCCTATAGCTGGAGGGGTTTAGGTTAGACCCAGTGAGGAGCTTGTCTTCCTGGTGACAGGCCAAGGGCAGTAGACAATGCAGGAGGCAGAGCTATTTCCAGGCTGAGAGTGAGCTGAGAACAATAAGGACCTGGACAGGGCCCAGCTCAGGCCCACGGTGCCGTGGATGCTGGGTGCTGCCCGTCAGGAGGGGCTGAGGCCTGGTTTTGGGATTGTTGGGGATAAGGAGGTAGCATAATGCAGACAGCCCCGCCAAGACTTCTGGGTTCTGAACTTGACCCAGCCATGAATTCACTCTATAACCTTGGAAAAGCTATGTTGCTTCTCAGGACCACAGTTTTCCTTGGCTTGGGATCACAACCTTGTTTTCTGAAATGACTTGGATCAGAACCCTGTTTTCTGATCTTTTCACCACCGATGACTCTTATCATAGCTTTCTAATGTGCATTCATGACCATCCAACATGAGACTCTTCGCAGCAGTCCGGTTGCCCACCACATCCCAGGCAGGGTAGTGGCCTTGGCCGCTGTACCATTCTGCGTTGTTACCATTCCAGGAAAAGGAAAGAAATTGGCATCTTTGTGAACCAAAGGGGCCTCATGTGGGTGGACGCACAACTCCTCCCACTTCTGGCAGCATGAAGGTGGCCTGAGGAACATGACCGCCCCTTGCTGCCTCTAGCTCAGAACTCTAGACATGACCAGGGAGGAGCTGGCAGTCAGGGACAGAAATTGGGTGAATGCACCAGAGACAACGGGTCCATGAAATGGGGGCAAGCGCATTCTCCAGCTTCTCTTTGCTGCAGCAGCGACCAGGGCCTGGCTTTCTGGGGATGGGACCATCCAGCTCCAAGCCTGGTATGAAGGAGGTCATGCTCCCCAATGAGGAAGGATGTTTGTGAGTCTGGGGACAGTCCTACTGAGAGGGAAGAGGTGAGCTCCGGAGACCTCTCCAGCCCAGCCTTTCCCGTTTGTCCTGCCCCCACGGCCACCTTCCTCCCAGCCTCCCCCTTAGTTACCTGCTCGCCCCGCAGGGCCTGGTGGATGGTGAGACTCCGGTTGTTGTGCATGGTGAACAGGATGACTTTGCCTGTGTGGTTGAACCGGGGGGCTCCAGCCACGTACACCCGCCCCTGCCTGGAGGACACGACCGATGTGACTGTGTACCCTGCCACAGGAGGAAACAGACTTGTCTCTGGCCCCGCATCCTCAGCAGACCTTGCCAGAGCCTGACGAATGGCTCAGCTGTGCCGGAGGGCAGGCCAGGCAAACGTGATACCGCAAAGCAGTCAGTCACAGGCCTGCACCCGACCCCTGGCTGGAGAGAATAAAGGAAGCCAGGTGGGACAACTACAAAGCATAGCTGACCTGGAATGTACACCTCCCCTCCTTCACCCAAAGGAGGGGGCAGAAGGGCGAACCCTTAGCCACATTTCATTTTATATTGGGCAGGCTTGGTTTTTGATCCCCATCAGTTGTTTTTCTTGGGGACCAACGAGTATGCTTTTCATTACCATAAATCCCTTCTAAGTGGTTTATGAAAACTAATGTTGGCTCTGTAGGTGTAAGGATCTCAGGAATGCTTGCAGCTCCAAAGCTTTGCAGACTCAAAGGAGGGGGCTCCCAAGTTCCTCGCAGTCCACACATACACCACGCCCAAGAGGAAGAGATGGAAACCTGGGGCTTTTTGGAAAGGCGCCAATCCGTGTTCTCAGGATGGTGTTGCCTGATCACTGTGACTCTTGAGTTGCCTAGCCAGCAACCAGGAGGTGAACAGGTAGCATCTTCAGGCAACTCTCTTGAAAGTGGGGCCCTGGCAGGTGTGCACAGTCTAGAGTCCCACTTTCTAGACGGGTGTCAAGCCTGTTGGGCAGCTCCTGGGCTGGGAAATGGATGTCTCTTTTACTGTGTGTGTGTGTGTGTGTGTGTGTGTGTGTGTGTGTAACATTGTCCCTTGGGTCCCACTGGTTGCTTCCAGAGTGGCTGGCAGCAGGGTGCACAGATGAGCGGATTCAGTGGCTAGGAGCATGAGTCCAGTAGGGTGGTCCACTCTGGACCCAGACACAATGTTTTTGACTCTTGGAGGTGTGTTCTGAGAAATGGGGCTTGAAAGGTCATTAAAGGCAAGGGCATCGCGTAGGGGTGGCTAACGTGCTTGTGTATTTAGCACAACCATAAATATATGAGGTTAGGGTGGGATTAGCCTTCCGGTGTGGAACAGAGATTTCTTTTGAGCTGAGCCCTCAGTACACTCCTGGAAATGTTCTCAATTGGCCCTGAGCTTTGGGGCTTCCTCAGAAGGAGGGACAGTGGTGGTAGGAGAGGCCTGGGAGTCACATGTCCTGGGGGCAGGCGTGAGCTGATTCTCAAAGCTCTAAGCAGCATTGAGAACTTCCTGCTTGGCAGCCTGTTGGTTGTGGCTTCAGCTCCCATGTGGCTCTTTGATCAGCAGGCGGGGCCACCCTGAAAGCTGGACCAGCCTCCCTGAAGGCTTAACAAGAGGACCCATGGACAGAGGTCCATACAGCCTCCTCAGTGTGGAGGCAGACAGCCTAGCCTCCCAGTCTCCTTCTCCCAAGCCCTCCACTCCCTTGGGGCATGTAGGGAGGAATCTTCCAGAAACCTCAGACACTGCTCTCACTGAATGAACCCCAGAGGGAGGAGGAAGAGGAGGAGGAGGAGAGGAAGCACTCCCTTGGGACCCCCACCCAAGGCTGTGACTGTGGTTAAGGCTGGACAGTTGGGTCTTATGAGGGTCCTTCAGCCTGGCTCTACCCATCAGGGTCTTCTGGGAGGAGGAGGAGTGTCTAGAAGCATCCACTGGAGGACATTTCAGGCATGGGTGCATGGCTTGTCACTTATGCTACCTATTGGGTTGTTAGAAAAGTCATGATGCATTCTTTCTATGTTTTTCATTGCAAAACTGAGTCATGACTTTTCCGACAACCCAATACTTACGGAAAGCCTATCACATGCCAGGAGGGCGTGGTGGACTCCAGGCTGAAGAAGCGATGACCCTGACCTGTGCCTGAATCAGCACAGGATGCTCACAGACAGTCCCCTTGCATCATGTGTGGGTGGGTTCTGGCTCTCCCAAGGTCCCTCCTTGCCCACCGCCCATCAGCCGCCCTCGCTTGGCTCTCACCCAGGTATGCGCCGTGGTTCTTGAGCTCCTCAGGGAATTCCTTCAGGTAGGACTCTCGGAGAGGAATGACCTTCCCACCAGTGGTCTCCTTTAGCACAGCTCCATTCCAGTCATAGGCGCCAACGGCTCCCAGCAGAATCCCATCCTGACATTGGGGAGGGGCCACACATCAGCTTGTATNTTTTAATAAAACAGTGGACCACTTTATTTTTTCCTACAACACAATCATTGGTGATTCTATAATTTTTCAAATTATGCATGTGCCAAATGTGTTTCATCAGTCCTCCATTGTGGGATATTTTGCTCGTTTCAATTTCTAAAGTCACAAATAACTCTGGGATTAGCAGCTTGTATGGTAAATTACGATTTCTTTTCAGCATTTGAGTACTCAGTGTGTTCCTCTCCCACCTCGAGTGCCATGCTCCCCGCCTCAGTGAGGGCTCCATCCACTCACTCAATCCACTCAATCAGAGGGTCCTCCCTGGCTCCATCCTCTACCCCGCTCACTTGCAGTCTCCCAGCAAGCTCTGCCTGGTGCTTGCCAAACACGCCCCAAATCCATCTACTCTCCTCCTCTGCTGCTGCTTCCTCAGATCAGGCACCATCCAAAGAGTCCCGGTGCCTCCAGGCTAGTCCCGCTAATCCATCCCTATGGGTGACCAGAATAGGCTCGAGCAGCTGGTCATACCATTCCCCTTGCTTTTAGGAAAAAGTCGACTCTTCAGTGTGACCCTGCTGGCCCTGCCGCCCTCCCCCCCAGCCTCTGCCCCCACCTTCTGGTTCCCATGACTCTCCCTGCGGTACCCAATGCTTTCTCTTCCTCAAAAGCCCCTGGCCCTGGCTGGCTTGCCGGCTTCCCTTTGCACATACTTTTCTCTTGTCAGCACACCAGTCTACCATCCTCTCTCCCCTTGCGTGGCTGTCATTCCTCAGGGCACTTCCTGTCAGAAGCGTCCCGGTCCTTCCCCGCTCTACGCCCTCAGCGAGTGCCCCTCCTGGACGCTCCCCGAGCCCCATACTACTCCCGTCAGTACCTGTCCCCTCCACAGGAGCCTCGTGTTGTGTTCCCTCCAGGCCTGGGTGCCCTGCCTGGCGTGCAGGAGGTTCTCAGTAAATGTTTATTGGACCAGTGGGCCACTTAGGAAAGGAAAGGGGCCCTTCCCACAGACAGGCCCTGCATGACACCCTTTACAGCCTCGCGTTAGTACAAGAGATGGTTGTCCTCCTTTTATAGGACAGAATCTGAAGCTCAGAGAATCTGAGTCACTTGCCCAAGGTGAGAAGGCTTGTCACAGCCAACTGGGGTCTGTGACTCTCTCTCCCCCAGCCATCTCCTGGCTTAGGGTGCTTTCAGAAGAAATCTATCCTCAAGCATGAACAGCTTTTAATTGAGGGGAAAGATAAAAATACAGAAGAGAGAAAAAGGAAATCCTAAACACTGGGTGAGGGAGGGAAGAGATGTGCCCGCCTAAAGTAATTAAGAGGCAGACAGAGCAAATAAGGGGAGAGGGAGGGAGGCATGTGTCTAAATATGTGGCCTCAGCTATGTGGGTCACCGTGATTTGGAATCCACTTAATTTAGCTGCCTTCAGCACTGCGGTTTCTCGTTCGGATGTTGGAGGCGGAACCGGGCAGTAAAAATGTCATAAATTCATCAGCAAATTCCCTACAGCTCTCAAGGCCTAGACTTGGATTCCCCTAAGAGCTGGCCTTGGGCGGAGTGTGGGTGGAGGCAGGGTGGAGGCTGGGGGACAGAGCAGTGCCCTTGAGACGGAAGAGGACTGGTGGAATGATGGCTTCCTATAGCTGGAGGGGTTTAGGTTAGACCCAGTGAGGAGCTTGTCTTCCTGGTGACAGGCCAAGGGCAGTAGACAATGCAGGAGGCAGAGCTATTTCCAGGCTGAGGGTGAGCTGAGAACAATAAGGACCTGGACAGGGCCCAGCTCAGGCCCACGGTGCCGTGGATGCTGGGTGCTGCCCGTCAGGAGGGGCTGAGGCCTGGTTTTGGGATTGTTGGGGATAAGGAGGTAGCATAATGCAGACAGCCCCGCCAAGACTTCTGGGTTCTGAACTTGACCCAGCCATGAATTCACTCTATAACCTTGGAAAAGTTATGTTGCTTCTCAGGACCACAGTTTTCCTTGGCTTGGGATCACAACCTTGTTTTCTGAAATGACTTGGATCAGAACCCTGTTTTCTGATCTTTTCACCACCGATGACTCTTATCATAGCTTTCTAATGTGCATTCATGACCATCCAACATGAGACTCTTCGCAGCAGTCCGGTTGCCCACCACATCCCAGGCAGGGTAGTGGCCTTGGCCGCTGTACCATTCTGCGTTGTTACCATTCCAGGAAAAGGAAAGAAATTGGCATCTTTGTGAACCAAAGGGGCCTCATGTGGGTGGACGCACAACTCCTCCCACTTCTGGCAGCATGAAGGTGGCCTGAGGAACATGACCGCCCCTTGCTGCCTCTAGCTCAGAACTCTAGACATGACCAGGGAGGAGCTGGCAGTCAGGGACAGAAATTGGGTGAATGCACCAGAGACAACGGGTCCATGAAATGGGGGCAAGCGCATTCTCCAGCTTCTCTTTGCTGCAGCAGCGACCAGGGCCTGGCTTTCTGGGGATGGGACCATCCAGCTCCAAGCCTGGTATGAAGGAGGTCATGCTCCCCAATGAGGAAGGATGTTTGTGAGTCTGGGGACAGTCCTACTGAGAGGGAAGAGGTGAGCTCCGGAGACCTCTCCAGCCCAGCCTTTCCCGTTTGTCCTGCCCCCACGGCCACCTTCCTCCCAGCCTCCCCCTTAGTTACCTGCTCGCCCCGCAGGGCCTGGTGGATGGTGAGACTCCGGTTGTTGTGCATGGTGAACAGGATGACTTTGCCTGTGTGGTTGAACCGGGGGGCTCCAGCCACGTACACCCGCCCCTGCCTGGAGGACACGACCGATGTGACTGTGTACCCTGCCACAGGAGGAAACAGACTTGTCTCTGGCCCCGCATCCTCAGCAGACCTTGCCAGAGCCTGACGAATGGCTCAGCTGTGCCGGAGGGCAGGCCAGGCAAACGTGATACCGCAAAGCAGTCAGTCACAGGCCTGCACCCGACCCCTGGCTGGAGAGAATAAAGGAAGCCAGGTGGGACAACTACAAAGCATAGCTGACCTGGAATGTACACCTCCCCTCCTTCACCCAAAGGAGGGGGCAGAAGGGCGAACCCTTAGCCACATTTCATTTTATATTGGGCAGGCTTGGATTTTGATCCCCATCAGTTGTTTTTCTTGGGGACCAACGAGTATGCTTTTCATTACCATAAATCCCTTCTAAGTGGTTTATGAAAACTAATGTTGGCTCTGTAGGTGTAAGGATCTCAGGAATGCTTGCAGCTCCAAAGCTTTGCAGACTCAAAGGAGGGGGCTCCCAAGTTCCTCGCAGTCCACACATACACCACGCCCAAGAGGAAGAGATGGAAACCTGGGGCTTTTTGGAAAGGCGCCAATCCGTGTTCTCAGGATGGTGTTGCCTGATCACTGTGACTCTTGAGTTGCCTAGCCAGCAACCAGGAGGTGAACAGGTAGCATCTTCAGGCAACTCTCTTGAAAGTGGGGCCCTGGCAGGTGTGCACAGTCTAGAGTCCCACTTTCTAGACGGGTGTCAAGCCTGTTGGGCAGCTCCTGGGCTGGGAAATGGATGTCTCTTTTACTGTGTGTGTGTGTGTGTGTGTGTGTGTGTGTGTGTGTAACATTGTCCCTTGGGTCCCACTGGTTGCTTCCAGAGTGGCTGGCAGCAGGGTGCACAGATGAGCGGATTCAGTGGCTAGGAGCATGAGTCCAGTAGGGTGGTCCACTCTGGACCCAGACACAATGTTTTTGACTCTTGGAGGTGTGTTCTGAGAAATGGGGCTTGAAAGGTCATTAAAGGCAAGGGCATCGCGTAGGGGTGGCTAACGTGCTTGTGTATTTAGCACAACCATAAATATATGAGGTTAGGGTGGGATTAGCCTTCCGGTGTGGAACAGAGATTTCTTTTGAGCTGAGCCCTCAGTACACTCCTGGAAATGTTCTCAATTGGCCCTGAGCTTTGGGGCTTCCTCAGAAGGAGGGACAGTGGTGGTAGGAGAGGCCTGGGAGTCACATGTCCTGGGGGCAGGCGTGAGCTGATTCTCAAAGCTCTAAGCAGCATTGAGAACTTCCTGCTTGGCAGCCTGTTGGTTGTGGCTTCAGCTCCCATGTGGCTCTTTGATCAGCAGGCGGGGCCACCCTGAAAGCTGGACCAGCCTCCCTGAAGGCTTAACAAGAGGACCCATGGACAGAGGTCCATACAGCCTCCTCAGTGTGGAGGCAGACAGCCTAGCCTCCCAGTCTCCTTCTCCCAAGCCCTCCACTCCCTTGGGGCATGTAGGGAGGAATCTTCCAGAAACCTCAGACACTGCTCTCACTGAATGAACCCCAGAGGGAGGAGGAAGAGGAGGAGGAGGAGAGGAAGCACTCCCTTGGGACCCCCACCCAAGGCTGTGACTGTGGTTAAGGCTGGACAGTTGGGTCTTATGAGGGTCCTTCAGCCTGGCTCTACCCATCAGGGTCTTCTGGGAGGAGGAGGAGTGTCTAGAAGCATCCACTGGAGGACATTTCAGGCATGGGTGCATGGCTTGTCACTTATGCTACCTATTGGGTTGTTAGAAAAGTCATGATGCATTCTTTCTATGTTTTTCATTGCAAAACTGAGTCATGACTTTTCCGACAACCCAATACTTACGGAAAGCCTATCACATGCCAGGAGGGCGTGGTGGACTCCAGGCTGAAGAAGCGATGACCCTGACCTGTGCCTGAATCAGCACAGGATGCTCACAGACAGTCCCCTTGCATCATGTGTGGGTGGGTTCTGGCTCTCCCAAGGTCCCTCCTTGCCCACCGCCCATCAGCCGCCCTCGCTTGGCTCTCACCCAGGTATGCGCCGTGGTTCTTGAGCTCCTCAGGGAATTCCTTCAGGTAGGACTCTCGGAGAGGAATGACCTTCCCACCAGTGGTCTCCTTTAGCACAGCTCCATTCCAGTCATAGGCGCCAACGGCTCCCAGCAGAATCCCATCCTGACATTGGGGAGGGGCCACACATCAGCTTGTATTGCCATAGGTGCCTCTCCCCGGGAAGCTACACCAGGTCCTGCACCATGAAGCATCTGCCAGTCAGCTCTGGTACTTTCTCCTGAATTCGTTCTTTAACAGCCTAATTTCTAGCCAGATTCTTGATTTTAAATGAGCCAAGGACCTTCTTGACCCAACCCATCCTTAGCACAAAATGGGTCAAGCTGATCCCAAGGATGGGATCTTAGGAAAGAAGGAATGTTCTAGAAAGAAACTCCAAATCCAGGAGCAGAACCTCCATTCCTCTTTGGGCTCCAGAGCCCCTCTAGGAAATCTCCTGTCACTGTTCCTCCCTGCTGACAGTCCTTCAAGCTGTGCCCCTGCACGTGCCTCTTTCCACATTCTTTTGCAGTGTCTGAGTTGCTTCCCTGTGTATAAATCCTACTTCTTCATTTTTTTTTTCAGTAAAAACTCACTGAGTGTCTACTTTGTGCCAGACACCTGTTTGGTGTTGGGGATATTATTCCTGCCCTCAAGGAGCTCAAAGATCCTAAACAAATATGCAAATAAATATAATAGCTTGCAAACTGATAAATGTGATGAAGGATGTAATAAATGCCACTGTGAGGTTTAATTTCGATTCAGATGGGGGTCAGGAAAAGCGTTTTTGAATAAGTGATGCTTACGTAGACACTTGGAGGGGATGGGGACAACTTGTGCAAAGGCCCTGAGGCTGGAGAGAGTTTAGAGCCTTTAGTTTCAAGGACCTAAATGCTGTTTGATGGGTCTGGAACGTTGAGTGAGACGGGGCACAGTGGCTCAACATGCGTCTGGACAGATGAGCCAGGGCTACCTCTGTGACAATCAACACCTTGAGGACAGAGCTGTAGGGTAAGTGGATACTGCAATTTTGGGGCAGGAAGACAGGAAGCTCTGGCTCCCATAGGGAAAGTGTTACTGACTCCAAGGTCATTTCTTGAAGACTGGGACCATTCACTCTCTGGCTGCCCCTGTATCCTGTCCACCACCATCCCCCCTCCTTAAACAATCCATGTAACCAGTGGGTACAGGAGGACAAACCGCAAGCACTTAGAAGGGAGAGAGAAGTGAGTAGGAACAATGAGGGATGAGAAGGGGGGTGGGAGCAGGAAGGGGCCGCCTGCCTGGGTTGCCTTGGTGATTGTGAGCTGACAGGTGGGAAAGCAGCTTGTATCCTAGCTTTGGGTTGTCAAAGTACTAGCTGGTGATGCCACCTCTCTCTCCCACTGAGCATTTCTAAGCCCAGCTGACTGTCTGGATTTGAGATTCTCCTACCATTCAGGGGCCCAAGGCACTCAATCTCCCCTCGCACCCAAAACAATGGTGCTGATAGAAAAATGTGATTCTGGCCTTGGGACCAACAGAGTGAACTAAACACACAGGCAGGGTCACCTTGTGCTTGTGTCATTGGTGGCAGTGGAGAGGACAAGATTGTAAACCTTAAGCCAAGCTTCCTTTCCTAATTTCCAACACGCCAATTTAAAGAGTAAAGTTGATCTTACCAAAGTTGATCTTACCAAATATAAAGTTGATATTACCAAATTCTAATATTCTGAGGTAGAACTGACTGTTCAGACAGTGTTTTCACGACTATAAATAAGTCGGTCTTGGGAGAGTCTGGTGTGCTTGGTTGTGTTCAACATCATGCTTTCTGATTAGCTTTCTCCCCTGTCCTCTAGTCACTCCTCAGCCTGGGAGAGTCTGACAATCTGTCCGGGGCCAGGATGAGGGTCAGGGCCTCAGGGACTCTCTGTCCACAAAGTCACCACTAACATTCTTGAACTCGGGGTGTGCTCCATTCTTTTGCAGAACACTTTCTTATCCAGTCACCCATTTGCATGAGGCCAGCTCATTGTCTGTACTTGATAAATGAACATCCAAGGTTCAGAGAGGGAAAGGGACTTGTCCAAGGTCACGCAGCAAGTCAGAGGCAGGGCTGGGACTTCAATCAGGGAGATGTGTTGAGGAGAGGAGAAAATACCCATGTGCTTCCTGGAGGCCTCTGGATTTTGCTTTCGATTTTCCATCTGAGACTCCTTCTGGGCAGAGTGCAAGGTTTGGGCTTCACCTCACTCTCTTCCATTCCTCCCTCTCTCTGTCTGCTAAGTTCAAGTTTGCAAATGCAGATCAGGCTTTTTTGCTTAACAGAGAGGCCTTTGAAGGTGGATTTTTGGCTTTGTAGAGGACTGGAAGCCTCTGTGATGTATAGAGAAGGGCTGGCTCAACCCAGGTGCCTGGGACTCTGCAGGGGGACCTGATGCTGACTCACCACATGTGGGGCTGGGGAATTCCACTGCGGCTTCTGGATATTGCAGCATTGGGCTGGGTGATGGCTCACAGGCTGTCACCTCATGCCACTTTACCCTGGTAGTGACTGCAGGCTTGTGCTCCCAGCGGAAGGCCCTGTCCTGAGAGGGGTCTGTTGGGGGCCAAGGAGAGTCCCATGAAGGACAGGGTGCACTGTGAGGAGAGGGCTGGCTGAGAGAGCACGCGAAGGCCACCAGAGCAAACTTCACTATGTCACAATCTTTTCCCAGCTGGGGGAGCCCAGACATTTTAAGTTTGGAAAAAATGTGGAAGGGCGTGGACACAGTCTTGACAGAGGAAGCCAGGCATGCAGGCCCAGCTGGATAACCAGCAGCAGGACATTCCAGGGAACAGCCGGGCCCATGCTCCAGGCCTGGCACCAGCTCCCTGATTTATGGCCTCCTTCCTACCAGGCCCCTGGACTCCCACCAGAAATCACCAGGGTGTGCCTGGGTGGCCTTGCACAGATAGACCCTTTCTTTACACAGCCGACTTTTCTGGTGCTCTGTGCAGAAGTGAGGGCGAAGACTTGGTGGCCAGCCCTCAGAAGGCCTGAGGCTGAGTCTGTGCCCTCCCTGAGGACAACCTGTGCTGACACTCCCCTGAGCGTAGTACCCACCATCAGATCTCGCCAGCTCAGCTCTTAGCTGCCCCCTGACCTGGCCTCTGCAGCACTCTTGCCTTGGCCACTGAGCTGAATGCTCTCTGGGCTTATGACCGCATCTCCCTAAGCTCCACGTTCCAGCCAGCCCAGGTCCCCAGCCAGGGTTGGGCCACATCCCCGGCACTGGAAGTGGTGTAGTCTAGAGCAGTGGTTCTCAACTGGGGATTGCTTAGCCTCCCAGGCAATAGTTGGCAATGCCTGGGAACAGTTTTGGCTGTCACAGCTCTGTGTGGTGTTGGGGTTGCTATGGCATCTGGTGGGTGGAGGCCAGGGATGCAGCTGAACACCTACAGTGCACAGGACGGCCCCACGGTAAAGAAGCATCCAGCCTGGATCATCAGTAGGGCAAGGTTGAGGATCCCTGGCCTCGTGGTTAGAGCATGAGCTCTGGAGACAGACAGTTCTGAGTTCTAGGTCCACTTCCAAAGCATCTAGCTGTGTGACCTTGGGCGAGTTTCTTTCTCTCTGAGCCTCAGGTTCCTCAGTTGCTTTGTTGTGTGAATTACAATAGCATTTTTAATTCTTAGCATCGTGCTTAGCCACTAATAAAGACTTGGTACACAGTGGTTCTTCTCATTCTGTAATTCACACGTGAAGCACTTCTGGGAGGCAGTAGTCGAAGAATCAGATTTCACAGTCAGGTTGGTGCTACCGATGAGTCTTTACAGCAGCTGGTGAGAAGCGCTCTGATGGAGGCAAGGACAGCCTATTTGGGGGCTCACAGGAAGAGGTGACCAACTGAAGGAGGGGGTGAGGGCACAGAGGAGTTAGGAAAGGATTTTAAGCAAACCTTTCTTGATTTATTAGTAAGTCCTTTGGAGAGGCAGGACTGCAGACACAGGTGGAGGTGGTCGCCGGTGGTCCTGTGCGCTGGCGTGCAGGGAGGCCACCTAGCGGGCACTGAGTGGTATCCTCCTCCCCCAGGTTCCCCTGTGGCTCCCTAGTGCCTGTGTGCCCACTGTCAGAGTGACTGTAGAGGGGCAGGACTCTATTTCCAAGAGCTCCTTCAAAGGCAAATGTATCACCAAGAGGGTGGATGATGCTTTAGCTAGTGGGATGCTAGCATTAGAAGATTTATTTTCCAAAAGCTCAAAGTGGAGCCTTTGGGAAATGAGGAGGATGAGAACCAGGATGTTTAGATGGGGTTGGGCAGAAAAAACCCAGAAACAGGCCCTCCACCTTTCTGCGAAGAGGAGGCTCTCACTGTGTGTGCTGCTGGAAGCGAGATTGCTCTGCTCAGAGTTCCCGGAAATGAGGCCCAGGAATTAGATGCTGGACACAGGGCACAGCCTGAGGACGTGGGGCTGGACTTAGGAGGACCCCAGCGGACCAGAAATGATTCCTGCCGCCAGGAGGTAATTTGCAAACAGTCTGGAGCAGCATGCTGGCTGCTAGGTCCTGTCCTCACGGGAGGGGCCCACGGACAGCCCTGACTGCCTGCCCCAGCTGTCAGGGGGAAGACTCCACAGTTTAGGGCTAGGGGGTCTCGGGAGGGGTTCACAGCCTCTAGGTTTCAACCCCTCATTTCACCATTCTGGATTGGTTTCTTTCATTTCGGATCGAATCAGGTATGCAAAACTTGTTCAAATGCAAAACTCTCATGAAAGATTATAGCTTTAAGACTTCAACAGCTAAGAATATTCGATAATAGCCAATAACCTCAGCTATCCAGTCCTCAACCCCAGGAGGGCCTGTGGCAAGGGCACAGGCTGAAGAGGCAGGAAGGTGTCAGCTCATCATGTGTAGGTTACAGGAAAAATGCCCTCTTCATATCTCGGGTGAGTTACCAAGAGTTTTGTGTAGACAGACCCACCCTAATAAAACTGCCTCCTTCTGTAAACTTTTGGTGTTGGGGGAGATTTACGGACTGCAGTGGAGCTCAGTCAATGTGAAATTTCTTGGTTGAGCCTTTGTATCGGGGAGCACCCCAGCGGTTCCATTCGTCACCAATGGGCATCAATTATTTATGGTCCTCTTCTTTCTCTACACCTTCCCCTGTGGCTCACTGGGACTATAGACTCGTACAGCCTATGCCCTCTGGGGAGCTACGGATCCCTTCTGCAAGCTTTCTGATAGCTTCTTGATTACCCAGTTTGACAACCTCAGTAGACAGCCAGCATTCATAGAAGCCATTCCAGCTATTAGTGACCTTTGCATTTCCAAATGCTAATGGAACCATTGGCTTAAAAGTCTGTTTTACAATTTGACCAAGGATCAAATGGAATTAGATCAAATGGTCTTCCTGATGGTAATTTCCAGACCATTCTCTTTCTTCTGTTTGCAAATCAAGACTAGAGTTTCCTGGGTTGGCTCCAGCTCTCTCAGTTTCCCCAGTGACTCTGACCTTCAGCCATCAGCCTGGGGTGCAAATTTTGTGGCCTGGAGCCTTGAACTCTTCAGGCAGCCAGGTGATATCTTGGGGTCTCTTTTCCTACCCTAGGCTCTAGTCCCTCCTTCCTCTTGTTGCTTTATCCTTCCTAACTCAAAGGATGGTTTCCTTGCTAGACAGATGGCAGCAGACCAGGCGATAAGCCGCTGGCCTTTCCTCTGTCATTTGAAAACATTCGACTGAGTCCCTCCCCTAGGACGAGAGAGACCTTCCCTCTGACATAACTAAACAGACCGGGGGCAGCTGAAGGCTCCTTGAGCACATTTGCAGGAAGTAGTTTTCTGAGGCTGTCGGTCAGTGGAGCATGGCTGGGTGAGATGGGGCCTGAGAGATGGTGCTCATCCACGAGATGGACTCACTTGGGCTCAGGATCTGCTCTGGGCAAAGCTAGAAGGCTGGATCCACCTGCACCTGATCTTCAGACAGGTCTGACTGTGCCTGAGAGCTGTGGAGCTTGACTCCCAGGGACAGGACGGCTGTGGCCAGCACTGGAAAACCTCTGTGCCCTAAAATAGCAACCCAATGGCCTGTCATAGCGCCCGACAGCCCATCATCATTGCACCATTCCTTTAGATTTGGAAGGTATTTTTTTTCTTTGAAGTAGTAAGGAGTCTCAAATTCAAATGTAATCATCTTCTCTTTCAACGTCCTATCAGATAAAAACTTCCAGATGCTTGTCACTTGAAAACAAGACTCAGGGTTATATAAAAATGTGCCTGTATCTACAGGATAGGGAGAGGCACCCTGGCGGGCTCTTCGACTGATGAATAGAAAAAGAGTTGGGCATGTGGAAGAAACTGCAAAGGGCAGTGCATGACCTTGACCTAAATAACAAGCTGGGGCTCTGAGCTGCCGGCCTTCCCCCTGCACCTGGGGAACCCGCTGGTCCTGTAAGGACTTATCTTGCTCGACACACTGAGCTGCTCAAGCCATTTTCAGGGCTCAGCTCAAGAGAATCCAAGCACCTGAAGCTTATCTTAACCTCCCTTCTCGTCAGGTTCCCCGATTCCTGGGCATACACAGATCACAGTATTAGAAGCAGGAGGCTGAACTTATTATCTAAGAGTCTTTCTCCCCAACTAGACTGTGAGCTGCTGTCAGCTGAAATGTTACATTAATGTCTATCTATTTATATGTCCCCAGTGCTTGACACACAGGGAGAGTCTCAAAAAAAAAAAAAAAAGATTGTGGAATGGACAAAGGAAACAAGGGACATTTGCACTCTCTCACTGTCCCCAACATAATGACTGGTCCAAGTGTGTGCTCAGATTTCCCCCAGTGTTGGACACATAAACATCTTATTTTTTCCTGCTCACTGCCACCCATGGCTGCAGAAATCCTTGTCCTCCGGAACCTGCCCAAGTGCCAGTCTCTGCCCAGATCCTTCTCTGACAGTCCCCTTGCTCAGCCTGGGCCTTTCCTTCCATGCGACCCGGATCACACACTACCTTGATTGGCATTAGATGTGTGCATGTGGTTCTCCCATTGGGCAGGGGGTCTTCGCAGGGGTTCCAGGGATGGGGCCTCCTGAAGTTGTACACTTTGCCCTAAGGGAAATCTATAGTTTCTTTTATCCTCCTCTCAAACCTGAGGCCTGCTGTTCTGGGTTGTTTGCAAGTTGACTCCTGGTGGCAAGATGAATTTCCGGTTCCTTTTGGTACCTTAGTTGCATCTCACAAATGCTTGTTGGATTTAATGAAATTGGAATTCCTTGTTCAGTTGTCCAGTTGGACTTGGCTCCAGAGTCAGGAGACTGAGGCTAGTACTGCAGGAGCACGTGACTTGCCGCCTGGCCTGCGTGGGGGACGCTCTCGTCTCTTTTCGTGCCGGCTCCTTCTCCTTGGACTGCGAGCTCCTTGAGGGAAGGGCTCTCACCTCTGCACCTCCTGGGAGGGGCCCAGCATGAGGAGAAGACACTGGAACAATTTGCTGATGTGACCACTTGAAATGAGACAACTATTACCATCTGCCGACTTGGCAGGGTTGTTTCTGAGCATGAAATGAGGTGCAGGAATTTCAAATTCCTGGAAAAATGTAAAGTGCTCTGTACATATAACATGACTGTTAGGATGCTAGGGCAGTTACACGTACATCTTGCTGCATTCAAGTTGGCACAGAATTTTCCAGCCAGATGCTGCTCAGGAAAAGCTGAGCGTGAGTCACATTTCCGCCCATCTGCCTACTGCATGCTGTGCATATGTCCCCTCTACTCCAATTTGGGATTTCTGACTCAGACCCCCTTAGATTCCATACCGTCTCATGGAGAAGCTGCTCGGTGTGTGGGAAGAGCACGAGATGAATATTTCTCTCTCTTAGAGCACTTCAGCAGGTCACTCAACCTTGCTGTGACTTGCTTTCTTTATATGGAATCTGAGAACAAGGAGTCCTGCCCTATCTATCTCATAGAGGAGTTGGGAGAACTCAGTGTGATAATGAGAGTGATATGTAAGTAGGAAGGACTAATAGGACTTTTCTGGAAAATTAGGCAGAAGTACATTCCCATGGCACCAGCCTGGGCAGAACACACTCAATGGGGCACCTGTCTGTTCAAAGCATTAAGAGAGCCCCCACAAGGTCTCGTGCTGATGCCAACACATCCGGATTACCCGACATGTCACTCCCTTGTACGTGATGCTCCCAGGCCAGGCTTATACCTGAAAAGTTTATAAAGCATTTTCACAGGTATCAACTCCTCTGCCCCTATGGCAATCCTGGGAGGTTTCAGCCCCAGCTTGTGATCAAAACCAGGTGAAATGTGTAGAGGGTGAGTGACAGCCTGAGGCTCTAGGCCTGTGACACCATGTGCCCACCTGGGACCTCTGCAATCTGAAGCCAAGTTTGTACCAAGACAGGGCCCACATGGGCTACCTGTCAAAGAACAGCTGACACATCTGGACACCCTCCTAACACAGATGCAGGGCCGTGCCCCTGTGTGCACAGGCCCCTCAGTCATGCACGGACACTATTAGAGCACGTGTCATTGGTTTTGCCATGTTGGCCTAGATTTTGCGCAAGACTCTGTGGCCTGAATGGGACCCTTGGTCCTGGAGGAAACGTCCCTATCAGCATCCTGCACTGCAAGGGTAAGACAAATTATTATAAGTTGAAGACCTTGACTTTTCTCATCTAGCCACAGAAAATGGGAGGCAGAGAGACCCCAAAAAAGAGAGAAAGGGGATAAGAGACAGGCCAGGAAAGGCAGGATGATGACTGACAGTGCTGAGTGTGTGGCAGGGTGGCTCTAAACCCATCTATACCTCCACCACGTGAGAGGAGAATCCCGTCTGTGACATCTCCAGCCCAAAGGAGGTTTCGTTCTTGTTGGTGCCTAAAATAGACAGACAGAAAGACATCAGTCCATGCCTGATTGCTTAACATCGTATACACCTGCAGCTCAACCTACAACACGCGTTTCCCAGGGGGCACCTTTAGGAAGGTGAGAGGGACCGTGAGTCTAAGCTCAGTATAGTCTGCCTCCAGGGGCAGGCACCCTGTGAGGGAGGCTCCAAGCACCTTCCAGGTGACCACGTGGGTTTATCATTAGTGGCCCGCTCCCTGCTGGAAAGGGCTTGGCACAACATATCACAGGGCACATATACCATAAGATGGTCAAAATAGGGGAAAAATCAAGACAAGAGCATGGAAAGAAATGGTTTCTGGCAAGAAATGGGATTTCCTCCTTTGTTCATTCCCATTATTCACCAGGTTGGGTTCCAGATGCTTCTGGATGATTCTCAAACTTCAAATCGACCCTCAGGAGGGAGACCTGTCACCACCACAGGTTTGCACAAGAGACCCCATGTGTGCTGAAAGCTCCTCCCTGTGGAGGGCTGCTCTGAAATTGTCATCGGAGCCAATATTCTTGTCACCCAAGGCAACCATTTTGAGGAGAAACACACTGATTTGGATATTTAAGTTCTAGTGCGAGTGTCAAAACTCAGGTTCATACTTTCTATTCCTTTAGCCTTGTTTGTGAGGGCCGTTTTTGTCCTTTTTGTGTGTGTGTCTGTAGCTTGTCATTTCCAGCATGCTGCAGACTGCTCAGGTTTGGGACGCTGCCTTCTGTCTCTTGACAATCCTCCCATATGGCAGAGCTCAGTGTGAAAAGGGCCCACTCTAGCAATATATGATGCAAATGAGATCTGGGCAAGTCAGAACTGGAGTTTAAGTTGTACGGAAAGAGATAATCTGAAGGGACCCTGCAAAAAATGCTTTTGGTGCAGCGGGAGGCAGGGGTTAAGTATTTCAGACTTTGGAGTCCGTTCAGCAGGGTTCAAACTAGGGTTGCCAGATAAAATACTGGATGTTCAGTTATTGAATTTCAGACAAATGACAAATCATTTTTTAGTATATAAGTCTGCCACAAATATTGTATTTTACATTTTCTAAAGCTGATGACTCTCCTTCAAATCCCAGCTCCTTTCCAAGCTGTGGGTGCTTTGGCCAGTCACTCAGCTCTTTTGAGTTTCAGTTTCCTCAGTGGTAAAAAGAGCAGGCGATCAGCAAAACCACCTCCGGGGTGGCGAGCGGGGGACAGTTTGTAAGTTGCACAGCCTCACATCAAGCACGGTAACACTCATGTGTTGACATTTATCATGAAGGGAGGACTCCTGCTAAACCCTTTCATTCTTCAGGATTGGATTTCACTCTGGGAACTGCACCTGATGTGAACCCAGGAGCTGGACCCCTCTCGGTATGCATCGCTCACCTTCCAAGCTGAAGATCCTGTCCCCCAGGGCATCAACAATGTCCTTCAGGGCTGCCTCGTCAGTCACATTGAAGAAATGCTTGTCATCGGGGTCACTGGCGATGTATTTGATTTCGTTTAGAAAAGTTTCTGGATTGATCCCCCTGCGGTTGTAGTAGCCCAGGACCTGCCAGAGAACAGGGCAGGGCAACAAACCAGGACATAGCACAGACCTCCCCTTACACCTGCGACCCCTGACCCTGGGCCCCAGGACTGGCCAGAACCGCTGCTTTGGTAGGTGTCCTCGAATTTCCATTTGCATTTTGAAACAGACTTTCTAGTAGAGGCCAGATAAGGCCCTGTTCTAAGATAGGGTTTTGGGGGTTGGGAGGCTTTGGCGGTTTCTAGTTTTGAGGTTTTAGAACCTCCCTAGAAATGGAGAAAAAGGAAAACAAACCCACAGCTGTTGTGGGTAGTCCTGGGTAGTGCAGAAAACAGCCTCAACGTGCTCTTTAGGAGAGGATGGAACAACAAGAGGCCCGTCTGAAGGCCTGGATAGCTTGTTCACGGCCTAGAAAATGCCCCCTGGGGACCCCAGGGGTTTGATGGCAGAGCCTCTACAGGGTAGCTGGCAGCCTGTGGGCAGGGGCAGGGAGCAGGACAGTGGGGACAGGACTCACGGCCACAGCGTATCTTGTCACGTTGTCCCTCTCGCTTTGCTGGATCACCTTCTCCAGGTCCGGGCTGTCGTGGGACTCCCCATCCGTGATGACAATCATCACCTTCTTGGCCCCTTTCCTGCCGCCCTTCTGGAAAGCCTCTGAGCTGGAATCCAAGCACAGGGGGAGGTCACAAGAGGGAGGTGGGATGGGGCAGCCAGAAACCGGGGTCAATCCCCCCACTCCCAGCAACCCAAAAGGTGGTGGGACCTTGAACCACAAAATAAGCTGGGTTAAGATGCCCAGGCTGCTCAAATGGATCTTGTATCTGCTTGTCTTTAAAAAGTGACTTTAAAAAGCCCCTCTAGGGTCCTGAGCATGCTATTTTGGCCAAGCAGAGGAGAAGGGGTGGGCCTGGGAGGGGAGTTCAGGGTCAGATGGAGGCCCTAAGTTGGTGGTTCAAAACCCAGCTGCACATTAGAATCACCTGGAGAGTTTAAAAAAAAAAACAGGATGCCAGGCCCCACCCAGACTCATAAAATCAGAATCTCTGGGGTGGGCATTGGGCATCAGTACTTTTTAAAAGTTCTAATGAACACAAGAGTCGAGAACTACTTCCCTAAGTACTGAAAAGTTGCCGTGTCAGAGTAATTTAACACCCAAACAACACTAATCCATAAAATCCGTGTAACGAAGCCTGACAAAGTTCTGATTTCTCCCATGAGGAAAACTTTGATTCTATTTTGGGAACTATTAAATATCAAATTCTATGACAAATATTCCTCTTTCTGGCTTTTTGTTTTCAGTGCCAGGAGCAGACGCGAGGCCTGCCTGTTGGGCAATCCAGCCAGGGGGCGAAGTAGGGGTCGGGGACTGGCACACTGACCATCAATGCTGTGGAAAGGCTCTGGCAGCTGTCAACCCATCTGTGAAGCACAGAACACTGGCTCCTGAACCATCACTGGCTCTTGGAGTCTTTGTGGCCAACCTTCTGTGAGGCTCTGAGAAGGGCAGACATAATCTGGCCCAAGAGTCTGGCCCAGCAGGTAGAATTTTCCAATATGGATCTAAAAATAAGTGTTACCCTTAGATTCTGCAGGGATTCCTCATGGGTCTGACCCACAGGTTCAAGCCACAATGCCAGGGGTCTCCAGACCCCAAGGCTTTGGTAACCAGAGGTATCTCTTGTTATACAGCAAGCTGTTGAACTGACGTGCATGATTTAGATGTTGAGGAATTCACAAAACTTGGAATAAATTAGTTCAGAGCATCTTGAAGCTCCCAGTTAAGAGAAATAGACCATCTGTCATTCTCTTAGCAGCTCTGTGATTTTCTGGATATTTAGACTTTAAAAAACCCCCTGTAATTTTAGTATGAGCTATGGACTGAAGCAGGGCAGAGGCACGCTAGACACGAATGGAGCAGATTTGAGGCTTAAGTCTGACCCAGTGGAGGGAGAACTCTGCTAGTCCTTCAAAAGAGATTCCAGGTACTTCTATGACTTCATTAGAAGGCTAAGCTCAGGAACAAAACTCAAAGCACAAATCTATGTCAGGGGAAAAGCAGGTTTTTAAATTTTTTAAAATTTATTTTTATTACCTATGGAGCCAAGGACAACTTCAGGACCACGTTTTTTTGTGTGTTTGTTTTTTGTTTTTTGTTTAGCTGAGCCATCCTGCCCCCTGTTGGCAGCTCAGCGGCAGCTCAGCTCGGGCTGGGAATCGAACCACTGTTGCTCAGAGTTCAAACTCTTGAGCGAGCTCTTAACCAACTGAGCCACTCGGCCGGCCCAGGATCACATTTTTATATAGTGGAAGAATGTGGATATCTGTATGAATCTGTAATAGGGTAAATATTGGCATGAATCATCAGATTTAAAATTGTGATCTTTGTATTGTGCAAAAGACTTGGATTTGTTTCTTTGTAAGTCATATTATAAGTTTGGGAGAGCAGTGAAAGCTTTAGAATCACAACAAGGTCCTTGAATCTGGAAACAGGGTGATCTTGTGGGAAAGTAGTTCATGTCGTGTCGCCTTCCTGGGCAAAACCTGCAATGGCTCCCATTTCAGGTGCTGACACTGAACCACCAGGGCCTTTGTGATCTGGTCTCGTGATCCCTCTGAGCTCCTCCTCCTGCTCTCCCCTCTCCACCCACCCTGGGCTCTTGGCTGATCCTGGAACCACCAGCACCTTTGCCCCAGCTGCCCCTTCTCCTGGAACGCTCCCCCTAGGTACATTCCTGGCCAACTTCCTCACCTTCTCCAAGTCTCGGCTCAAATGTCAGCTCTTCATGAAGCCTTCTCTGATGACTCTGTCAATGCTGATTGAATACCTTCCTGCTCAGAATTACTTGACTGCCTTTACCATGCTCCATTCCCCCTCTCCTAGCTTTTAGCTTCTGGCATACTATGTTATTTATTTGTTTCTTTATTTATTATCTGCCTCACCCTCTAGAATGTCAGCTCCACGAGGGCAGGATTTCTATGTTTTGTTTATTGATCTGTTCCTAGCATCCCAAACTGTGGTAGAATGTATTTTCCAAAGTTGGCTGCAACAATATCCCCCATCCCAAATGCTCTTCTGCAAGGTGACCTTGACACGCCTTCATCAAGAAACAGAAACAATTTCTCTTCCCTTTGAATCTGGGCTGGCCCTACTGACTTGCTCAATCAATAGACTGTTGCGGAAGTTATAATTTGGACCTCTGTAGCTAGGTCATGGGTCTTTTGAAAAGCTTGCTCTTGAGATGCTACCTCTCAGAGCTCAGCTGCCACATCATGAGAAAAACCAAGCCACATGGCCATGTGTGGGTGCTCAGGTCGCCAGCCCAACTGAGTTCCCAGCCCATAGCCAGCATCATTGCTAGTCAGATCAGTGTGCCATTTTGGGTGTCCGGTCCAGTAGAACCTCCAGATGACAACAGCCCCAGCTGACACCAGACTTCAACCACATGAGAGATCCCAAGAGAGAACTGACCTGCTGAGTCCAGCCAATCTCCAGAGCTTTGAGGGATTAATAAAATATTGTCTCAAGATATTACATTTTGTGGTGGTTTGTTATACAGCAATATAGAACTAGAATGGTATCTGAGATTTTTTTTTTTTAATTAAAAAATTTTTTCCTTTCTTTCTTTTTTTTCTTACCGAGCAAATTCGATGCCAAATGCTGTCCGGGTCTCGGTCCCTCCTCTCTGCTCAATGTGGCTGGCAGCTTCCACCACATCTTTTACAGACCTGTAGTCATTGAGGTGAAATTCATGTACCACATCTTCTCCATACTGAACGACTCCAACCTGCAAGGTAGAGGAGAGGGCAACAGAACTTCTTGATCCCTGAAACTCAGGCCTTTGGTGGTGAGGCTCCCTGGAGTCATCTATCTGTGACTGTTCGGGAGTGAGGAGGCCTGAGGGCCTTCCCACGGGACAGTCACTCATTGGAGGGGAAGCAGGTTCTGCTAAGTTCTGGGAATGAGTGAGTGGCTTGGTGAGAGACGTAGGAGCTGCATATCAAGAGAGGAGACTGATTTAAAGAAAGGCCCAACAGACTAAGTTTCTTGCTTAAAAAGACAAAAGTTGAGCATAGAATTGAAGTCTAACATATTAGGAACAGCATGGGTGGAGGGCCACGGCATTGTTCACCAAACACTGGAACTGAGTTTCCTTAAAACTTGGAAGGGAAGAGCTTCTTCTATTCCAAGGTTGATAAAACATTAACAATATTAATAGCCTCAAAATAAACAAACAAAAATCCCTCCTTAAAGACCTGCAGTAAGACTAGGTTGATAAATTGTTACTGTTGGATGGGCCCAGAGTTTACTTAGTACAAGTGCATTTCTAACGCTGGGCTTCCACCCAGGATACCCTAAAAGATGACCTTCCATTCGTGGGCAACTCATTACTTCACGACAAAGCCCACTCCCTTTTTAACAGCTCTAATCGTTACAAAATAATTTCTTAGATTGATTTGACATCTGCCACCTTGGAACTTCTATTCATTGGTCCTGGTTTGGCCCACCCAAACAGTATGGAAAAAATCTACCCCCTCTTTAACCAGGCAGCATTTCACATATGTGTTGGCAGCTATGACCTCCTCTGCAGTCTTTTCTCCAAGATCAATGTGTCTAATTCTCCCCATGCCTCGCTCAGCAGGGTTCTGGTGCTACTCAACATTTCCCACCTTCCTTCTCACTCTGCAGCTGGTCAAACTCTTTCCTGATAGTTTAACCCTTGAAGAGAGGTCCTCCCACCTCACCCCCACCCTGCCAAACTCTCCCTTGATGAGCCCAGCAGAGATGGTTGCCCTTTCACCTACACCTTCTTAGGGCACATAAGGGTGCTGTCCCCACATCCCAAGGAAGCACCTGCCATGGGTTTGGGCCCTGTTTGGAGGAGGAAAGAATTCCAGAGATGCTCACCTGGATCTGCCCCGGGCCAATGTAAAACTTCTTCAGGATGTTGATGAGGAAATGCTGGACCTCCACCCAGGGGTAGATGCTGTTGGAGCCATCCAGGACAATGACTATGTCCATGTAGGTCTGGCACCCTGGGAAGTTGGAGACACGGTCACAGCTACCCAAAGAGCCAGTGTCTGCAAGTCTCTGATTCTCCAGATGATTGTCCGAAGGACAATAGAAGAAGGATCTGTTACATGTGTGTAATTACATGTGTGTGCTGGGCTGGGGAGCTGTCTTGGGTGGGGCATTTATTTGGGCAAAATGATTGATGAGCGCAGGCATTCCTGGCTCTGAGCCACCACTCCGTGCAGGCTGTCTGAACGAAGCTCGAATTTCACCTGACTGCCTCTGCTCCTCAGGGATTCTGCTCATCAGGGACGGAGCACCATTGGGGGTCAGTGTTTCTGAGGAGTCAGCACTGCCCACTGCAGTACCTTATTATCATTTGTTTTGCTGTAATGTGCAGACTGGAGTTTACCACTGTCAGCCTGTTAGAATGGGTTTCACTTATTAGGAGGGTGGTATGTGTCATGGTTAGGAATGTGGAATCTGTTTGACTCTTAGCTTTAACCTTGGGCTTAACATCCTGGCATCACTTCTCTCTTTTATAAAATAGGCATAATGATGATAGAGGATTGCCATGAGGAATCAATGAGATGATGCTTCTAAAGGGCTGAGCACAAAGTAAGTGCTCAAGAAATCTTAGCCAATCCTTTTTTTTTTTTAAAGCAAACCACTTTGTTAATGTGGCGGTGACATCATTGAGTCAAGCTCTCATGCCTGTATTTCCACCACTCTGAGCATAAAGATTTCTCTATATATTTTAAAAATATTAACACCAAATTAAAACAAATAATAAAAACCAACAAAAAAACCTAATGAAACACTGGTAATGTAATAAATGTAAAAAACTTCTTTAAAATCTAATTTATTTCTGTGTGTGAATGGTTAGGGTTACTTTGAAATAAGACATGATACGATATAATATAATATATACTATACTATATTATATTACTATATTGAAATATTGGCATTTGCTTATTTTTATTGGAGGATTTTTACACTGTTATGAAATTTACAGCAATATGTACGGCAGAAGCCTTTTGTATGTGAATGCCCCAGCAACTCCTGCATCATGAAAGTGCAGTATGTTCAAGTCAGTGCTCCCCAGAGAGAGGAAGATGGTGGCTTTAAGCCCAGGTCCCTGTCACAGGCTTTGTGTTTGGGATGCATTTTAGAAGCTTTTGGGTGATTCAGATGCTCAGAGTCACCTCTGCTTTAGGAGGAGTTGTGAGACATTCTTGTCCCATCTACACACCGTGTACAGCACGGGATGGCCCAATACTTCTGGGCTGACAGCACCTGGTAGCTTCGTTCTTTTCCAGTTTGGTTTAGCTCAACACACGTGGACTGAGCACCTGCCATGTACTGGAGCACCATGAAATGGGGGCCACAGATGTGACAGAGACAGAAACTCCTTCATTAGGAAGAGTTTCTAATCTAGGGATAGGGACCAGGTTTCTTTGATTTTTAAGCATGTTTTGTTATTAGAATGCATTTATTATTGCTGATTTTTTTTTTAGTTTCTTTTCTCTTATTTTGAAAGTGTTCTGATTTTATCTCATGCATTTGATATAATTGCTCTTAGATACTGAGTCTTAGATACTGAGTTCTTAAAGGGAACAACAATAAATTATGGGTTGATTAGGAATTTGGGGCATATTTTTTCTGGCCAAGTTATCTTACATCATAGGACATCCTTCATTTTCACTTTCACAGGCTTGTCATGAAGAGAACTGGTCTGCAGAACTTCCTCAATCTTCCTACGATGACTTTTGTTTTTTTTTAGATTTTTATTAAAATATAGCTAACATACAGCATTATATTAGTGTCAGGTGAACATTGTAGCTATTCAACATTTATATACCTAAAGAAGTATATAAGTCCAGCAGCCATCTGATATATACTATGCTATCACAATATTATTGACTATATTCCCTATGCTGTACAGTACACACCCATGAATTATTTGTCTTATACCTGGAAATTGGAACCTCTTATTCCCCTTCACCTTTTCCGCCCTTTTTTAATTTTTCAATTTCAGTTGACATTCAATATTATTATTTTTTTTTAAAGATTTTTTTTAATTGGGGAATTGGGGGATGGGAACAGCACTAGGGAATTGGGGGAAGGGGAACAGAGAAGTTGCTGTCCTTTTGTTCTTCAGTCTAGTTGTGGAGGACGTTGCTTCACTGGCCCAAGTTGGCACCATCATTGTGCTCTTCCCAGGTGAGACAGATCAGTCGCTGGCTTCTGGACGGCCGCTGATGGCGGCTGCTGGGCCGCTCATGCTGGCTGCTGGCTACACACGGTAGCCCATGGCAACCCACTGCAGCAGGGGCTGCAGCCTATGCTGTCGCCAGTGACTCATGGCAGCCCAGCTCCAGGTTGAGCTGTTGTTCACCATCTTAGCTGTAGAGGGCAGTGTCACTGGCCCTCATGTGGGATCCGAAACGGGGCCCTGCTGCTCAGAGCTGGCATCCCAAGCCAGCTCTTAACCAACGCGCCACTCGGCCAGCCTGGTACCTCAGCTTTTTGTTTTGTTTTTTTCATTTCCATTTTTATGAAATATCTTTTTCCATCCCTTTGCACTCTGTGTGTGTGTGTCTTTCAATCTGAAGTGAGTCTCTTGCAGGCAGCATATGTAAGGGTCTTGTTTTCTCATCCATTCAGGCATACTATGTCTTTTGAGTGGAGTATTTAATCCACTTACATTGAAAGTAATGGTTGACAGATGCATAGCTATTGCCATTTTATTATTCATCAATTTTTTTTCCATCTTATAAAGTCTCTCTAAAATTCCCTATAATACTGGTTTGGTGATGATGAATTTCTTTCGCTTTTTCTTGTCTAGGAATGATTGCTTTGCTGGGTAGAGTAATCTTGGTTGTAGGTCCTTCCTTTTCATCATGTTGAATATTTTGTGCCAATCCCTTCTGGCCTGCAAAGTTTTTGTTGAGAAATCAGTTGACAAAACTTATGAAAGTTCTCTTATAAGTTACTAGTTGCCTTTCTCTTGCTGCTTTCAGGATTCTCTCTTTGTCTTTAACTTTTGCCATTCTAATTAAAATGTGTCTTGGTGTGGGCCTGTTTGGTTTTATCTTGTTTGGGACTCTCTGTGTTTCCTAGACTTGTATGTCTATTTCCTTTGCCAGGTTAGGAAAGTTTTCAGTCATTATTTTTTCAAATGGGTTCTCAAGCCCTTGCTTTCTCTCCTCTCCTTCTGGTACCCCTATGATGTGAATGTTGTTACACTTGACTTTGTCTCAGAGATCTCTTAAACTATCCTAATTTTTTTGGATTCTTTTTTCTTTTTGCTGTTCTGATTGAGTGTTTTCTGCTATGTTCTCTTCCAAATCACTGATTCAGTCCTCTGCTTCATCTAGTCTGCTGGTGATTCCTTCTAGTGCATTCTTCATTTCAGTTATTGTATTCTTCACTTCTGACTAGTTCTTTTTTATGGTTTCTAAGTCCTTTTTTATGCTTGCTATCTCTTTGTTGCAGTTCTTACTAAGTTCCTTGAGCATCTTTATAACCATTGTTTTGAACTCTGGTAGGTTGTGTCTGGTAGGTTGCTTGCCTCCATTTTGTTTAGTTCTTTTTCTGGAATTTTCTCCTGTCCTTTCATTTGGGATGTATTTCTTTGTTTTCTTATTTTGGTTGCCTCTCTGTTTGTTCTATGTATTAGGTAGATCTACTACATCTCCCAGTCTTGGCCAGATGGCCTTATGTATTAGGTGCCCTGTGGGACCCAGTGGCACAGTCTCCCTGGTCACCTGTACCAGGTGCTACAGGAGTGTCCCTTGTGTGGGTTGTTTGTGCCCTCCTGTTATAATTGAGCCTTGATTGCTGTTGGCACATCAGTAGGTGGGATTGACCCTCAGGCTGATTGGCTGTGGGGTTTGGCCACATCCACAGCTGACAGGCTGCTATATGTGGGGCTTGCCTTACTGAATGGGACTCACCCCAGAGGGCTCTGGTTACTGTTGAGACTGCTCTTTGGGTGTGATGCTTGTGGGGCTAATTGGGCAGTGCTCTGATGTGGTCTGAAGCCCACGTCCAGGTATATTGATTCTGAGGCCTCTTGGGAGGGGCTCCAGTGCAGGCCCAGGTCACCCACTGCCTGTGACTGGCTGGGAACTACTTGGTAAGAGCTACAAAGCGATCTGTGGTTGTTCATTGCCTGTGCTAACCCTGGAGGTGTGTGGGAGAGGCCACGCTGTGAACAAAGGACCAGGCCTAGGGCAGCTCTGCAGAAAGCCAGGACACCCCGAGGCCTACTGCCACCTGCCAGCTCCCTTAAGGTTCAGTCACTGATAAAGCCTGATGTGGTACTCAAGTTGGGTAAGGCAGGGTGTCAGGGAGTCACTAGAGTGGGAAGAGTTGTGGTCAATTGGTGCCAGTGCTAAGCCTGAAGATACTAAGCAAACATCTCAGAGCACACTGAGGCCAGTTCCTGCCCACCTGGGGTCTGTTGGACTCTGACAGTTTTCCAAAAAACAGTGCAATGCAGGTGGGGCTGGCTGCTCTTGGAGAAAGTGCCTCAGGTGTTGTAGGAGTTGGGTAGGGTGGGACCCAAGTGAGTAAGCAGAGCAGAGCTTTGGAGCTCATCAAACCAATCAGATTCATATTTGGCCGTAATTGTAGGGGGTGGGCTCAATACAGGAAAGATGGTGCTAGCTTGCTGGCTGCATGGGAGAAGGACTCCTCACAGGGAAAATACCAACTGTCCTCCAGCCCTTGTCCGAAGCAACACAACTCCGTCTACTCCCCATATGTCTCCAATACCCCTTGAGTTACTGTTTCTCCGCTGGAGCCCAAGGTGAGTGCCTGTGACCGAGTGAATCTGTGTGTAGGCTCCTTAAGAGGACTCCTGGGTTTCCTACGGCCTTCCATCCCACCTGGATGTTTGGAATGCCTACTGTTTTTCACAGCCAGATGTTGTGGGTGCTCCTATTCCTGGCACCAGTACTCTGGGCTAGGGAGGCCTGTGTGGGGATGGGGTCCGTTGCTCTTCTGGGGGGAACATCTGTGGCTGAGATATCCCTGCCAGTTCTCAACTGTCACATGGAGGTTTGGGGTTAGCCAGTTCCACATCTCCATCCCTCCTACTAGTCTTGAAGTGACTTCTTTATATTCTTACTTATAAAACTTCTGTTCAGCCAGACTTCAGATGGTTCTCCAGGTATATTGTTCTATGATTTAGTTGTAATTTTAATTTGTTACTGGAAGGAAGTAGGCACAGTGTTTATCTACTCTGCCATCTTGGATCTCCCAATTTTTTTTATAATTTCAAAATTTTCTTTTTAAGATACCTTGGAAATTATGCTAAGGAAAATGAGTCAGACAAAGACAAATATCATATGGGTTCACTTATATGTGGAATCTAAAAAAACAAAATAAACAAACAATCAAAACAGAAACAAACTCACAGATACAGAGAACAAACAAATGAGGGTTGGGGAGCTGAGTGAAAACAGTAAAGGGATTAAAAGCATGAATTGGTAGTTACAAAATAGTCACAGGGATGTAAAGTACAGTATAGGGAATATAGTCAATAATATTGTAGTAACTATGTATGGTGTCAGAGGGATACTAGACTTATTGGGGGATCACTTGTAAGTTATATAAATGTCTAGCCACTATGTTGTACACCTGAAACTAATATAATATTGAATGTCAACTGTAATTGAAAAATTTGAAAAAAAAGATACCTTGGGAAGAGTCTTGCTTTAGGTCTGTGGTTCCTAGACATGGCTGAACACTCCACTGAAACACACACACACACACACACACACACACACACACACACACACACACCCTAGACTAATCCAAGTCTCCTGCTGAGTTAGAACCTCCCCAGGGTTGGTGGGATCTGTGTCTGATAAGTTCTTAGGGCCCTGCTGCTGGTCAGCTGGGTGGGGAGGCCTCCAACACAGTAAGTCCTGGGGGTTGAGATGGTCACACTTTGGCCAGAGGAAACAGCAGCTATGGGGAGGTGATGTTCCCTTGTATACACCTCATTACCTCGGGCCTATTCCTGAGCCCTGGTATTGCTTTTTCTTCTGCTATTTTGTGAAACTAGAACCAATGCCTCCTCATCACCCTAATAGACCCCTTTCTAGCCCCTGCTAGACTGATGCTTCCTCCTTTCTCCTGTAAGCACCATATTTCCACCCCGGACTGGGCCTTGTTGTTTGGAGGGAGGCTGCAGCCAGCCAGAAGTGCTAATCCCCGCCCCCTAATAAAATGGGCAATAGCTGCTGGGGAGATGGTATTTAGCCCAGAGGAAATAGTAAGGCTCAGAGCCAAGCAGTCTGGGCTTGAAGGAGGTAAGGTCTGAACATTGTTTCCCAGATTTTCTTGGTGAGTGGGGAGTGAGTGGGCGGGTCAGTGTTCCGTGAGGCTCTGGGCAAGCTGGGCAGAGCTTCCTGAGGTCTAGGAACCTGGTTCGATGGGACTATTTCCAGGGATATTTGTTTTCCTTGATCCTCCACCTACAGGACAGCTGCACTGCATAACATCGAAGGGCACCATTCACACTGTAGTTTAAGTGAGTAATGTCCCCAGAATTGGGCAGTATACAGCTTGCCTGCTATACATGGTGGCCCAGCAACTTCTTCCTCACTCAAGGTGGTTTGCAGTGTCTCCCTGATTCCCAGGATTGTCTTCATAACTTTAGCTCATTTGCTCTCCAGCATCACTCTGTGGGGAGGATGGACCAAGGTAATAACCCCACCCACAGAGGCTCAGAGAGGTCAAGTCAGTTGTCCCAAGTTACCCAGAGAACCAGAGCAGGGTGGGGATAGAGTCTAAATGCTGCTTTGTAGCTGCAGGGTAGTGATGATCAGAGCCCCAGGCCTCACATGAACTGCAGATTTGAAGGCACTTACTTTGGAGAGCTGGGGCCACGGTCTTGGAGAATCTAAAGTTGGAGTTGACTCTCGAGCACATCCCTGTGGTGTAATAGGAGCTCCCACACTCGTGAGACCAGAGGGGGCTGCAGGCCTGTGAAGCACAGAGCAGATCCCCAGTCAGTGGGGGCCCTCAGGGAGGGTCCAGGCCCCATAACCTTAGGCCCAGGCCCAACCTCCATGACCCAAGACAGATATCCTCTATCTGAATGTTGGTATCCCCAGGACTTAAAGGGTCTTATTTGAGTCTCATTGAGCTATCTCTTGCTGCAATGTGTGCCAGTTCCCTTGGTTTCAGGTGGAATGGAAAAAAACTACTGTTAGAGTCCTCTTTTGTTGTATTTTCAAGGGACCCATTCTCCATCCTATCATCTAGGATTTTGATTCTTCTTCACCTACCTGCCCACCCCACCCACCACACAGAATCTTGGAAAGCCTTTCCATCTATGGGAGGGAACTCTCTAAGGTCACTACAATAGCCCCTCTTTTCTCAACAGGTCACCTGAAGGTCCTTATTGGGCAAACGTCCAGGACTGTGTCCTGACAACATACCCATGGCTCTTATTAGGGAAAGTAAAAAGAGTGTCTCTGCTCTTTCTCTGAAATTTGCTACCCAAAATATTGATGTCAACCCCTTTCGTAAAGACTGAGTGTTGAGTTCCTCTCAGAGTCAGGGTCATTAGAAATGAAAGCCTGGCTCCATGCTCCATTTTTCTCCTGCTGTAGGAAACCCAGGACTAAATTTCGTGCTGCAATTTCCCTTGGTTTGGAGAAGTAATTATCCCACCTCCAATCCCTTTATTTAATTAGTTTTCCATTTTTACTCAGATTTTAAATGTTTTGTTTTATTGATGTCCTTTGTTGAAGTTGCTATAAATTACTTTTGGAAGTAGAGGGAGAATAAAGAATGGGAGGGTGGATGATGAATGATGACTGGAAGGATAGATGGATGATGGATGATGGATGGATGGATGGATGGATGGATGGGTGGGTGCATGATAGATGGATAGATGATGAATTGATGGATGGGTAGTAGAAAGATGATGGATGGATGTAGGAAGGAATGATTAGATGGGAGGATCAGGGGGTAGATTAATATACTTGTATAGATGGATAGGTGAATGAATAGAATGGAAGGATGGACCATTGGTTGGGGGATAGCCTGATGAGTGGATGGATGATGAGTGAATGAGCTAACAAAAGTTGCTATTGATATATCAGGGACTTAACCTACTCACAGAGGCCCCAGAAGGTGTATCACACCATCCTTCTTGGGCCTTCATCCCACCTTGTGAAGTAGGTAAAATTAAGTTAGTAAGAACGTGATAAGGAGCCTCAGAGTAAACAGAAAGTAGGAACAAAGCCCCTGACAGGTACATGTGTGAAGAGGGCCAGGCGTCCTGTTTGTCCTTGGTTAGGATGATGAAGGGCTGTGGGCTGACCACACATCGAGCACCTCGGGCCTTTCGCCAGCAGAGCCACTATGCTCTCCTCCAGCCCCTGAGCATCTCAGTCATCTCGTTGCCCTAGTGTCTGATTCTCCACACCCCAGATGTCTCATCTGTCAACAGAAATGGACTGATGGATATGAACGAAGAGTGACACAAAGCCATCCCAACATGAGTGGTCCATTTTATTGGTATTTTTGGGGGTAATTTTCTTCTGAAATCCTCTCACAGCTGTTTCTAGGAACTATAACCCCCAGAAGGATTCTGTTTTGAACCCTTAGCTTCACCCAAAACCATGGTGGTTTACTGGAACGTGGTGGCAAGGAGCAGGCAGCGCCCCTCTATTACACCACCTGCATGCTCCCTGCACGAAAAGCCTGTGCGTGCTCGCCTGGGCAGGGTGCAGAGACCCCCAAGCATGGCCCTCTGCTGCCTTTCTGTCCCCACATCATGTGTACAGTACTCATTTGCTTACTGTCTCTCCCCAGACCAGGATGTAAGCTGAATGGGGCAGGGGCTGTGGTGACTGCTGAATCCCCAGTGCCTGGCATTGGGCTCAGTACATTGTGAGTGCTCAAAATAATTGTTGTTAAAATGAATGAATGTCTCTACCACCTCAGCACAGGTACCCTGTCTTCTTTCTTCATTGCTGAGGCCTGTGTCTCCTCTAAAAACAAAACAGAAACTTCTTCTAGGAAGCTTCCCATCTAGTCCTGCGCAGTCCAGGTGGCCCATCACTCTGTAGTCCTTCCCTTGGTTGTAGTAAATCTGTGTTTACTCATTTATGGTTTCCCTTCAACGTCTTCTTAGGGTGTGTCCTGTTTCTTTGACCAAACCTGGAGCAGAGATTCAACCTCTGCCTTGGATGTTTGGCTCCCCAGAGGAAGGGATAGGCACCCACAGGACTGTTGGCCATTTTTATTTATTCCTGTTCCTTTTCAGCTGTCTCCTACCCTCAGGGTATGCGCACAAAAGGGCTCAATCCCTTCGTCCCCCCCCCCCAGAAAGTTAGGGCACAGCAGGCAGAATGGTGCAGGCAGGAAGCTAGTGGAGGAGCTGCTCTCGGGAGTGAGGACAGGCAGCCTGGTGGATAGAGTGCAGAATGTGTGTGTGAAGACACGTCCATCACCCCATGCTTCTGCCGGCCCCAAGCGGAGGGTCCATGGGGCAGGAGGGCTGGGGTTTGGAGAGAGGGCGGGGTGGGTGGCTCTTACCAAGAAGCTGTTGTCCTTGGGGTTGCTGGCCAGGCTCAGGCCGAGGCGCATGTTGTCCTTCCGTTCGGAAACGTTGGATAGAGTGACCCTTCCTGGAGTGGGAGGGAGAAACTCAGCCTGCAGCCCCCTTCTGCCCACCTTCTACCCAGTCTGCTGCCACCGCTGGCCAACAGAGGTGCCTGCACCAGGGTCGGTGCCAGGCACGTCCTCCCCGATTCTCCCTGGGTGTTTGGTGTAGCCCTTCCCGGTTTACTAAGGCCTTGTGCAGACATGGTCTAATTATTTCCTCTCAGCTCCCTGTGAGATGAGGAAAATGAGTCTCAGAGAGGACAAGCAGCCTGACCAAAGTCACACAGGAAGCACCTGGCAGAGCCTTCCATCTCCTAGTCCAGAGCCTCTCCTCTTCCAGCCCGTGGGCGCGCCCCAGCACTCCCCTTGTGTTTCATCCCACACATACCAGGCACCCCACCTGGGCTGGCTTCCCCTGTGCGGTGTCTGCTCCACAGGTTTCTTCAAGCCAACCTGCTACTGAAGCTTATCAGTCCCCCGCCCTGCTCTCTCAGGGCTTGCGCTTTGCTCATCTGATAAACTGACATATGATAAATAACTGGTTCTTTCTCACAGGTAGCAAATAGCCAACTAAACAAGAGCCGTCTAGAGGGACAAGGTCTTGCCCAGGAATGTCATTCTGTGCTTGCTGCTAAGAGAAACACTGAGGAGCAGGATTATTAGCTGACTGGGGGGTAGGGAGAGAGGGTGGTGGCAGATGAGAATTACTAAACAAATGATATCACTTCAGGTTTTACTGGATCATTCTGTCAGGTCGCTGAAGGGAAGGAAGTGAACTTGAATTCCCCACTTGTGTTGGTGTATACGTGTATGTGTGTGTGTGTGTGTGTGTGTGTGTGTGTGTGTGTGTGTACGCGCGCACATGTGTATGGGCACGTGGAGGGGAGAGTTTAGGGGGAAGCGAGTTGGGCATTTTGTTGAGCCTAGAGCCAAGTCGATGGTCATCTGCTGTGAGCAGGATCTAGTGTCTCCTCAGCTCGGGGGAGGGGAGCAAGCCAAGCATGGAGCATGGTTTGGATTTCGCGTTGTAGTGATTGGAAGAGTGAGGAGTTGGCCTGCCTTCTGGGCACAGGCCAGCAGGGCCTGGGGCTGGCATTCGTGGAGAGGCCAGAACTACAGATGCCTGGCTGTACTGTGGGCTGGGGGTGGGGCAGCCATGTTTGTTATTTTTCCTCCAGGTTCCCTGGCTTGTAGTCATGCTTCTTCTGAAATCCAGTCCCCCTTGGCAGTGCTGCGAGTGACTGGGATAGCTTTCTGTTTTGTCTGTTCAAACAAACCAGAGAGAAAATGATAGTAATAACCCTGCTTTTTTGAAATCATTTTTTATCATGTATAAAGTGCTGTGCATATGTGTTCTCCCAGGACCCCCTCTTGGGAGGCCCAGGAGTCACCATTTCCATTTTACAGATGAGAAATCAAGGTGCACAGAGGCGTAGTGATTTCTATAAAGTCAATTGCTGGTACATGATAGCGCGGGGACTGGAACCCAGGATATCCAAGGTTACATTCTGAGTTTCCCATCTGATGGCAGGGCTGTGGTGGCACTGGGATGGAGAGGAAGCGCCAGGCCCTGGCTGGCAACCTCGGTCCATCAGTAGCTTGGAGAATCCTGCCCTCCATTTATTTATGGGCACACCCTTCCTCTCTCCCTCCCCCTTTGTTTTCTTCCTGTCTCAGTGACTGAAGTCCTTAGCGAAACTGGTGGGGAAGACCCTTGCGTTGGAGTAAGAAAGACTCAGGTTCAAGTCCTACTTCTGCTGCTTCTGCTGCGCGTTGATTTGGGGCAGTCACTAACCTTCGCTCTGTGACCAGGAGAGGCTAATTTCTTTCTTAGTGGGTCTGTGTGGGGGTCCAGGGACACAAGCCCCCCCCCCCTCACACAGGGCCTGCCTTGCAGAATCACAGCCCCTCCCCTAAGCCCCTTATTAAAACTCCTGACTTCATCCAGGTGTCAGGAAGAAAGCACCAGCCGCTTCGCACTGAGGTGTGAATGCCTGACACCCTCTTAGCCTTTCCCAGAGAGAGGGGAAAGAACATTCCTGGCTCTGCAGGGCTCAACGCTTGGAAAGGCCATAGGAAAACCCAGGACTCAGGTTTCCCTGCCTTGCATTTTCCACTGTGGGGATACACTGACAGATGGTCTTCCTGCTGAGCTTTTTCTCCTTCGTGGTGGGGAAAGAACACTCCTCAGATGAAGTGCCTCCCGACAGTACTTTTCCTCTGGCCCGACTCACTTTCCTACCCAGCTTATGCCCCAGTTCAGGAATGTTTTCCAGGGTCTGATGGCTTCATGCCTCTCACTGCCAGCAGGGGCTCCTCCTTCTTGGGAGGGAAATCGAGTCCACATTGGAATCTGGAGCAATAGAGGAAACTCAGTGAATGCTTCATGTGTCTGTGTCTCTACCTGGACCAGGAGCTCCTCTCGGTGGCCCAGGCCCCGAGCCCAGTGCCCACACCTCCCATCACCGCCCTTGCTCCCTCTGCCCCAGCCATACAGCCATACTTTCCATCCTCAAACAGAGCAAGCTCATTCCACATTCCACCTCAGGGCCTTTGCACTTGCTCCTCCTCTGCCTGGAATGCTCTGGCCCCACCTGACTCCTTTTCCCCATCAGACCTTTGCTCAGAGAGGCCTTCCTGACCACCTTGCTAAGGTAGAACATGCCCTACTCCCACACGCAACCTCTTATCACAGCACTTTGGTTTATCACAACAGCATTTCTTTCCACTGAGACTATCCTGCTTTCTAGTTTGTCTTCTCGCTTCCTGTCCCCTCCCAGTGGGTCCCTTGGGGTCTTTCTCCCTGCTGTATCCCTAGTAACTAGCATAGTGCTTGACACGTACTAGGTGCTCACTAAAGTTTGGGGGGCATATTAGACCTAGAATGGATCCTAGGGTCATTGAGTTCACCTTCCTCGCTTCACACAGGAGTACACAGAGGCTCAGAGAGATGACGTGAGTGCCCTATGAACACACAGCAAAGAAGCTACAGCTGGTTGTACAGTTGGAAGGAGAAACCCAGCTTGGCCTGTTTTGGAAGCTGCACTCTCAGAGTGGTGATGACTGGGGTCCACGAGCCACCAGCCAGGCCCCCACCAGACTGTCTCCTCACTGAAGTATGGGCCCTGGCCGTGCTGGGTTTTGAACTTCCCACCCATGGCGCTGACGCAGATGTGGACAACTGCAGCGTCCAGCACCATGTGATGGGACAGCCAGTGCCCTGAGGATCTGAGTTCTTTGGGCTTTCCCTTTGATGCAGGCCTTTTCATCTATCTGCTTATCTCTTGAAACTCTGCCATCTCCCTCCACCAGGCCCCTGCTCTCCCACCTCCCCAGGGAGCCCCACCCCACTGCACTAGGGTAGAGACTCCCCTCCTGGAAGAGGGGGAGGCTGAGGGTCCTGGCCCTGGGGCTGACCAGTCTTCTAAGGCAAGGCCTGGAATCTTGGCTTCTCACCCCAGATGGAACTTCTGTTCCCTCCTGTAAGCAAAGTGACAGCCTGGCCACTGTCTGACCTTTAGGACAAAGTGGCAGTGCTTTAGAGGACTGGTGTGTGTGCTTTAGTGGACGCACATGTACACACACACGTAGGTCTTACACACACACAGGTCTTACAAGGGCCTGAAAGGCCTTGCGGCTGCTCACAGCATCTCCCTATGCCTGCAAGCTCTTCATCGAGGGACAAAGCCTTCACTTCAGAAAGGCAGTGCTGTGCAGGGACTAATGGGGGGCTGTAGACGATCTAGATTGGAACCTCAGCCTTGTGGCTTGTTAGCTGGGTGACCCCAGGCAGGTCCCCTCATCTCCACATACGGTCAGTCCCTCCTTTGTTAAATGATTAAAACTCATACAGTTGTTGTGGGGATTAAATGAGCCAAAATACCTAAAAGTGTTTAAAACAGTGCCTGGCACGTGGTGAACAAGATATATGAATGTTAGATGTTATTATTACTTCAAAATCAGAAAGAAGACAGGAAGTATTTTTCTCTTGCTGGGAGAGAGAACTCTGTGTCGAGGGGCTGAGGACGAGTCAGAAAGAGCAAGGCCTGGGACATAGGAGGCCTGGGTTTGAATCCTGGCTGGCCCCTGACAGGCTGTGTGACTGTGGGAAGGTTGCTTCTTCTCTCTGGCCTCCGCTTCCACATCTGTAAAATGGGACAGTGATGCCTGCTGGCCACCTCTGGGGGAGCTGTGAGAAGCCAGCGTGACTGTGGGCTCAGATGTGCTTTAGAGCCTGCCCTGCCCTAGGCAATAGTTGGCCTCATTGTGGAGAGACCAGCGGCCCAAGTTACCCAGGTTGAGCTTGGTGCAGTTCCCATGGGTCACCGGACACTTGTATACGTCTCCCGTCTTCTGGTGGCCGTTGGTTTCCAATGGAGCGCCCACAACCAGCCTGGGAAGTAAGAGAAAACAAGTGAAGATGCTGGAGGAGGTGCTCCTTCCTGGTAAAGTGTTGAGGGGAAGTGTATGTGTGTGTGGGGGAGCAGGGGGGATGGGGGGGCACGAACAGGAGGGAATCCTGGAGGAGCGGCCACATGCAGACACTCAGACTCAGACCTTTGTCTCCCTGGGGGAGGACACTGGGCTTTCAGCATAAAGTCAAAGGGCCCAGGATGTGGCGGATGTGAAGATGAAGACCACATGAGCCCTGTAACAGAGGAGATGTGGGCAGTCCCTGGGAGAAGAGGGCAGGGCAGACATCATGGAGGAGGTCACGCTTGAGCTGGGTCTTAACAGTTGAATATGCGTTTGTCAAGTGGTAGGAGGGTGGTAATGGTGGTCATTCCGGCGGAGGAATGATTTTGGAGCCATAGTCTTGGCCATCTGTCACTACCTGCAGGGCGCTTCATTTTTCACGTTACGTGACAGTCTTTCAGCTGGTGACTCAGATGTGGGGCATGTTGCTCAGTGGTCATGTCTGTCTCCTGAGCCACTAAATCTTTGCACAGGGTGGGCCAGGCAGCCAGCAGGGCTTAAAAGTGGCCAGGAGCAGCCACCCATCTGGGGCTCCTGCCTTGAGCCTATGCCTTTGCGACCTTACTTGGCAGTTGTAATTAAGGATCTTGAGATGAGATCATCTTGGATTACCCAGGTGGGCCCTACATCCAGTGACAATTGTCCTTATAAGAGACACAAAAAGGCGAGACCCAGAGAGAGAAGAGAACGCCATGTGAAGATAAAAAGCAGCGTTAGGAGTGATGCTGCCAAAAGCCAAAGCATGCCTGGGGCCCCTGGAAGCGGGACGAGGCAAAGACGGATCCTCTCCTAATCCTTCAGAGGGAGCACGGCCCTGCCAGCACCTTGACTTCGGACATCTGGCCTCCACAACTGTGAGAGAATACATTTTTTTTGATAAGCCATCTACTTTGTGCTAATTTGTTATGTACTCACTGGAAATTAGCACACCTTGCTTACATGCTTCTAGAAAATAACGAGCATCCCCTCCTTCCTGACCTGGCCAAGCCTGGCAGTGCCGGAAAGAACCCCACCTTAGCCCAGACGGCCCTCAGGCCTTTTCGTTAGAGCTTCCCCAAGCCCCAGCTAATGCCTCATCTCTGGCTGAAACACCAGTGCTGATGGGAAGTGAAACCCTGAAGGCAAGCAGGGTTTCCCTTCAGTGCCCACCTGCCCACTCTGTCAGCACCGCCAGCCTGTGGCACATCTGGAACCCTCTAGGCTTTGGGGGCCAGCCCGGCTCTCAGCTAACAAGCGCCTCCTCTTCTCAGGCCCTAGTGCTAAGAGCGACTCAGAATCGGAACCCTCTCAGGGACGGCTGTGCTGCAATGGCAGGAGGTGCCGCAGCTCACACTGCCCTAGAGGTCTCAGGCCCTGAGGGACATAGAATAGATGATGGTGGAACTTGGGGCACAGGGAGAGGTGACATTGGGAGCAAGGTGACCTTTCTGAAGCTGTGCTCTCCTAGCAGCTTCCTACCTCCTGGTGATGTGGCCCAAAGAAGAAGCAATCACTCGTTTTCTGACGTAAGAGGATTGAGAGGAGACGGGCCTGGAGGTTTAGGCTACGCAGGACTTTGGTGGCTTCTTGGGGTCAAACTTCTCCCTCCCCCCGATTCCCACCCTCTCTGTGCTGTCAGTAAAGAGAGGTCTGAAATGGGAGTTAATAGAGCTCTGTTTGAAATTAAGAGTCTATGAAATAAGAGCTGAAGTTTCTCCCCTGGGGACCAGATAATGACAGATTCTAAATATATCGCTTATTAAACTTGCCTGTGTTTGACTGGCAGGAATTAATTGGACCCATAAAATCTGTTTGTCTAGACGATGTGAGTTTCGGTTACTTAATTCTTCAAGAGATTGTGTGGTCTAGGCCACTCCATTTGGGAGGGGGGGTAGAGAGAGGGAGAGAGAGAGAGAGAGAGAGAGAGAGAGAGAGAGAGAGAGAGAGAGAGAGAGATCAGTGAGGGAGGGGCTTGGGCTCCAAGCTCGCTTTTCTGGCTGCTCTGGTTTTCAAGGTCACCCTGACATGTGACCAAGTCTTCCAGAGGAGTGTTCCTTCTAGGACACCCCTGCCTGAAGAGGCCTGCTTCCTGGGAGGTGTACCTTCGAGGAAAACTTTGTAGGGCGCCTCTGGGAGAATCAGGTGCAGCAGGTTCTAGATGAGAAAAACCATGGCTGTCTTCTAGAAAAGCTGCTCCCCTGTGTCTTCTAGGAAACACCCAGCAGCCTGACCAGACGACTCCTGCCAACTCTTCCCATTTTGCAGAGTGGGGACTCTGAGACCCCACAGCCTGCTTGGAGGGCCCCCCAACACAGAGCGAGAATGTTGGGCTGAGAATCCAGGGGCTGGGTCTTCCTCCTAGTTCAGTCACCGGCTTGTGGTGTGGCCTTGAGAAGTCATTGATCTTTCTAAACCTTGGTTTTCTTGGCTCTGAAATGGGGTTAACAATTTCTGTACTGTCTGCCTCCCGGGGGCACTGTGGGAAGACACAGGTGTCTAAAGGCACCGAGAAACAGCAGGGCCTACATCAAAGTAAGCTATACACAGAGACTGGTGGCTTCCTAGAAGTTGTGTGTTCTGGTAATGGCCAACATGTGACAATTTGTCAGTAAATCCACCAAGCCATCGTGACCCCAAATATGCTGCCAGACCAGGCTTTGTCCTTCTCTAAGAATAGGGGCACCCCATGCGTCCCATCTCCATTCTCCCAGACCTGATCCCTGTGGGTCCGTGGTACTACATGAAGTAGCAGGACAGGGCTTTCTGTCCCCATATTACAGATATAGAAACTGAGGCCCCCATGGGGGAGCTGACCACAGTTTGTTTATGGCAGAGGAAGGACTGATTCTGAAACAGCTTTCTCTGTGTTGCCCCAAATATTTCTTTGCCATGAAGGGAGGGCCTGGGTCAGCCCTCCTCACCATTCTTGAGTCTCGGCATTATGTGTGCCCGCTGGGCTTGAGGTTTTGAGGATATGATTCAGTCTTCGCCAGGAGGGGAGAACTGCCGAAGCACAGGGAAAATGTTTGCATCACCACTAAGATCAGCCAAATTGTTCCTGGGGTCTGGCAGACCCTACTACCTCCTGCGGCCTTAGCCTTATATAGCCATCTGCAGCCTCAGGGTCTGCCGTGCCTCTCGGGGACCGGACACCCTATACCCTCTGGTGTGGGCGCGAGCACGGCATGACAAACCCCAAAGGTCGTGGCGAGTGTCGGGCCCTTTCCATGGGCTGCGTGCCGTGACTCACCAGCTGCGGGCTCCCTGCATTCTTCCTGTGGAGGCTAGGGGAGCAGAGCTCCTGTGGATGGGAGACTTGGTGGCAGGCTTCAGCCACAGCCCTGTAGGACCCCTCCCTGATGGCCACCCTCTGAGCAGGGCCTCGCCGAGTGAGGAGGCTCACCGTGGAGCTGGCCACCTGAGGAAAGCAAGATACGGTGCTGTCTGGGTGCTGGGCTCCCTGGCTCCCAGCAGGACATAGGCTAACAAGAGGTTTCTGGCTCCCCACCTTACACCCTGTCCAACAAGGCCCCATGGGGGCTCATCCTGGCTTCTGCTTGTCCTCAGCTCCTTCATGCAAGGCAGTTTTAGTCTCTGAACCTTTTAAAAAGCACACTCCTATCAGAAAAAAGTATACCTTCAATGGGTTTAATTTATATGTTAATTAAACCAGTGTACAACTGTACAACTGTCAATATTTAAACAGGATTAAATACCCGTAATCCTATTTTTTTCAAATAAAATATAAACCTAAATAGAACTTGAATCATTTTGTTTCTGTGTCCCAGTATACAGCCTTGCACATCCCCTGTGGTATGTACACCCCACCCTGAAGACCATCCTTTAAAACGCAGCACAAATTCTCACTTGCTCCAGGGAGCCCTCCCTGGTTACCCCAGGCTTTCCCACATAAACTGGCACCTACTCCCTGCTGCCTATTGGGGCCAGTGCTTTAGTGTCATCTTTCCTCGAGGACTCAGAAGGTTTCGTGTGCCCTGCTGAGCTAGCATAAGGTAGCTGGGAGGCTCTCGGAAGGAGGTACCCACTGGCTCTGCTGACCTTCTGCCTGACAGTCCATAGCAGCAGCAGCTTTAGATTTGGTTTCACCTCAGGCCTAAGAGGAGCCCTGAGATTCAGTGCCTGGAAAAAGGGTTGCTGAGAAATTGAGTATTTTCCATGCATAGAAGTTAAGTGGAGTGACCCAGCCCCCATTTAAAGTTGATGTTGCTTGCTTCCCTGGTTTCCACTTTTGCCTTCTCCCCTCATTTCTGTGTGGGGATCCAGGGAACCTGGCTCCAGTCCCAGTTCTAGGGAGCAAGCACAGACCTCAGGCGAGGCCATTTTCGCCTCCTGGCTGCAGTTATGGAGTCAGGGAGGGCAAATGACTAAGTCAGCCCAATCCGAGTGAATCTCAGGACTTCTGCCCAGGAGTCAGGGCACCAAAGTGGCCCCTTTCCTCTGGATGCCATAGCATCAGAGCAAGGCCTGGGGCTGCTGGAGGCCACCCTGTGACGATGAGAGGCATGAGCTGATGCATTGCGGGGGAGCAGGGGGGGGGGAGGGGCTGAGAGCAGCATCAAGAGCAGACCTGAAGTCCTGATGATACTGTGAACCCCTGGATCAAACTATACCTGAAACCCACAATTTCCCAATATATAAGTAATAACTACTACTTTTTACTGTATAAGTCCATTTGAGTTGAGTTTTCAGGTATTTATAACTGAAAAAATACTAACTAGTGTGTACAAGGCAAAGAAACCAGCCAAACCCCATGTAGTTAAAATTGTCCTTAGAAATTCCATATATCACCATGTTATAAAAGGAACATGGCACCGAGCCCAAAGAGAGAGAAGCAGAGTCGCATCCCCCAGCTCGTGCTCCGTGTGGGGCATATATTTACTGGGCGAGGGCTGGGTGTACTCTCAGACTCCATGTGCG